ATGTCAACAACAGATTCTTAATTTAAAAGGAGAATTCTGTAAAATGACTATTAAGCTGCAAATCCATTTTCAAGCCAATGGAATGCTCAGCATTTTACTTTTGATCTCTGTCTCCTTTAAGGGACTTTTACCTGTAAATTTAAAGTTTCTCACAGAGTATTGCTCAAAACAAAACAAATTAAGCAAAGCTTATCTTGGTGCAGGGATTGTGTACACATAGTCAGATTAGAGCAATATTATGATTCTGATGCCAAAACTTGCCATCCAGTGACTGGGTGAGTTATGGAACACCTCTAAATCCTATTTCTTCATCTGCTTTGTCTTACCATTACCTACCTGACAAAGTTATTGTGAAAATTTGAAGACATAGATGGTGGTGCATGCATTGAATAAATGCTGTAATTCATGTCAATAGAATCCTAGAAGCTTTAGGGGTTATGGTTGGTGCAAAGAGCTCAGGGGAAGGTGGAGGTCTACACACAGGAAATGTATAATACAGTGAAGAATAATACTGGAATGTTGTGTAATGGACTCTTAAATTGATGGTTGTGAACTAGAGCAGTTAGGGAAGGCTTTGGTGCTAGGAGAGAATCACTCATGATGTAACTTAATTTAGTTGGAGGATTAAGAAGATAAGAATGCTTTGCAGTGAGTTATCTGAGTAAAGGTGAGGAGGCCAAGTATCTCTTGTCATTATAGAAGAGTACTTTGATGCAACATGCTATCATATTCTTACTCCTCCAGACTTTGATTTTCTTCTAATACTCTGTTTTCTGTTTTTTTGTTGTTGTTGTTGTTTTGTTTTTTAAGATTTATTTATTTATTTGAAAGGCAGAGATGGAGAGAGACAAATCTATTTTCCATCTGCTGATTTACTCCCCAAATGCCCAGTGACCAGAGCTGGGCCAGGCTGAAGCCAGGAGCTTCTTCCAGGTCTCCCAGCTGGTCACAGAGACCCAAGCACTTGAGTCATCCTCTGCTGCTTTCCTAGGTGTATTAGTAGGACACTGGATTGGAAGTGGAGCATCTGGGACACAGACTGAAGCCTGTGCCCATGTGGGATGCTGGTATTGCCAGCAGAAGCTTAACCTTGTATGCACATCATTGGCCCTTCATACTGTGTTTTGGGATGGAAAATTCGGATGTAAACATTCCACTGACAGTCTCCTGTTCACTAGCAACCTCTCTCTGAAAATGTTGATAGTCAATATTTCAGATTCTGGGGCCAAGTATGGTTTCTGCTCATATTCTTTTTATAGTCCTTTAAAAATATAAAATCCCATTTTTTGCTCTGAGTGGCACCAAAACAGGTTGAGGATTGAACACCTTTCTTCCAGGTTCCTTAGGGGGAGAGTCTTTGTGAGTATCTTAGATAGGGCTTTTGTGTATCTCACCGTTTTGACCCAGCATTCATCTGGTCCTTATGCATTTGTTTACTTGGACAGTTTTTGGTAAAACTGTTCCCAGTAGAGTTTACTAAATGTAGGAACTTTGTGAAATCAGCCAAAGTTAAGGGATAAAATTTGAGCTGTTGGAACTATGTTTAACCTGGTGTGACTTTTGCCCACTTGAAAAATTTTGGCCATGTCTGGATACATTTTAGTTGTTACAACTGGGGGTAAGGTAGAGACTAACTAAAATTCTTGTAATACATAAGAACTTGTCTCCGCCAGCAAGAATTGTCTGGCTTGTATTCCAGTAATTGCCAAGCTTGAGAAACATGGCTGGGATCAGAGTACCTCAAAATGTTCATAGAAAATGGAGTTAAAAATAACTTTAAGTGCTAAAATTTGTTGAAATTCATGTCTACTAGGGGTCTTCAAAAAGTTCATGAAAGATGCATTTATGATAATGATATATTCTGTATACAGAGATTTCAAAAATTTTTTTGCAGTATAGTAAATCTATCTTTGAAATTTTCCATGAACTTTTGGTCTCTAGTTCTTTTTTTTTTTTTTTTTTAATATATTTTTACTTATTTTCTTTTTTTTTGACAGGCAGAGTGGACAGTGAGAGAGACAGAGTTATAGAGAGGCAGAGAGAGAAAGACGTCTTCCATCCTCTGGCCGCTGCGGCCAGCGCGCCGGCTGGAGCTGCGCTGATCAGAAGCCAGGAGCTTCTGGGTCTCCCACATGGGTGCAGGGACCCAAGCACTTGGGCCATCTTCCACTGCTTTCCTAGGCCATAGCAGAGAGCTGGATTGGAAGTGGAGCAGCTGGACTGAAACCAATGCTCATACGGGATGCTGGCACTGCAGGTGGCAGCCTTACCTGCTATGCCACAGTCCCAGCCCCTGGTGTCTCTTTCTTGGATACCTTTCTATTTACACCACGGTGGACTACAACAAAGCTAAATGTGTTATTGGAATGTCAGGGATTCCAGACAATTTTTTGTTAGCAGACTTTACAAATATACTATAGCTAGTTTTTCTTAGCCTTCTAAAGAGTTCTTAAAGTTCCCCCTGCCTCCCCAGAAAATTTAGGGCATTTTCCTCTCCAAAGCGTCTTCATCTTTTGGCTATGACTTTTTGAAACTTTTACCATAACTGTTGAAAATGGTACTGGATTGATAAATATTTTATAGTACTGCCTTCTGCAGATAATCATGTTAATAACCCCAATTGGTGGTCATTAGTCTGTTGCTTGAACAAATCATGGAGTTGACTTTTCTAATCCTTCAATGGCCAGCGCCTCTGCTTCATCAGTACATGGTATAAGGGGCTTGCAGGAGGCTGCCAAAATCAGTCACCACTTTTGTTTGATGATTAATCCTACGAGAGGATACAAAGAGGCACAGGGTAAGTCCCAACTTTCTGTTGCAAATGTGGCCCTCAGAAATGTTGGATCATCACAGGTTATCAAGGTAGTTACCTAAGAGTTTTGTGGAGGAGGAGGAAGAGGAGGACACCTCTTATTAGAAGCTGCTTTGTGCTCCAGGCTGGCTTTATCTCAATGAATCTTCACAGAAAGCCCAGGGAAGTGAGGATTAGCACAGCTGTGGCTTTATAGGTGTGCTGAAGTTGAGTGGGGTAAGTAAGTTGCCAAGGAACATATTGCTGCATTTCTATAGGTTGTGTATTCAACTGCAGAGAAATGGGAATGGTTGAGGAACAACACAAAGGTGAGTTTGCCCACTACTGTGGGAAAAGAACAGAAACAGCAGGATGAAATGGAAAGATTTTAAATTGAAAATGGAACAGGAAATTACTCATTGAATGAACTTTTCAGGTGTTTGATTTAATTCTTGGAAGGAATTCTTTGTGAGTGATCTGATTCTTTTTTTTTTTTTTTTTTTGATGTATCCTCTTAGCTTGCAATAAAATAGTACATTAGGACCTTTTCTTTATCTGCCTTTATTTTTTTAACTATAAAATGCAGTTTGAAAACCATATAGCCACTATCTCTATATAGCCAATCTATAACTATATTACCACCATCTAAGTGTGCGTTTTCATTATACCTATTTTTTTTAAAAGAGGTATCTTACTTTTTCTTTTCCATATTTGAAAGTGGGACAAACGCAGGAAGGATGTCATCTGCTGGCTTACTCCCCAGGTATCTGCAACAGGCAGGGCTGGGCAAGGCTGAAGGAGCTCAGTGCAGGTCTCCCATGCGTTAGCAAGGACTCTCCTCCCAACTATTTGAGCATCATATGCTACTTCCCAGGATGTACATCAGCTGCAAACTGGAAAACAGCCAGCACCTCAGTCCAGGCATTCCAATATAGGATGCAGGCTTCATAAGCCTGTCTTAACTCTTCCCCACTGCCAAACACCCACCATGTTTCCACTTTAAATCTGAGAGAAAAGGCACAGCCCCATAGTATGAGCTTTAATAAACCACATGGCAAAACTTAGGCAAATTCATACATAATACAAGTGACCTGTAGTGTTGGAACTTAAATGACACATTCCAATGACTTAGCTTCTTAAGGTAACTGTTTTGATGAAGATTCATGTTTGTTATAGATTTCTACTTTATATAACTTCATGGAAATCTCTTGTGGTTTAATCCTCACACTGAATTTGAATCATGTTGTTTCTTAAAAGCCACATTCCCTGCTTGACCCATACAGTGTACTGGCTTGATCAAGAGCTACATTGGCAGGGCCAGCGCTGTGGCACAGCTGGAACACTGCCACCTGCAGTGCCTGCATCCCATATGGGCGCCGGTTCAAGTCCCACTGCTCTACTTCCTCTGATACAGCTCTCCTGTGGCCTGGGAAACTACTACTAGAAGGTGGCCCAAGTGCTTGGGCCCCTGTACCTGCATGAGAGAAGAAGCTCCTGGCTTCAAATTGACATAGCTCTGGCCGTTGCGGCCATCTAGGGTGCTGAACCAGCAGATGGAAGATTTCTCTCTCTCTCTGTCTGCCTCTGCTTCTCTGTAACTCTGCCTTTCAAACAAATAAAACCTAAAAAAAGAAAAGAACTTCATTGGCCAATGTCAGTTCTGAGAGCTTGAACTGTGTGTAAAATTACTCTTAATTAGTGTTCACTGACACTGAAAATGGGATATATGGTATGACCCTAAAAGTATTCTAGAAGAAAGTTCTGGGTAAAAGTGACCTTGTGGAAATAGTGTCCCTTTCAAACATTAGACAAAGTCATTAATGCCTCACTGTCTAGACATATAGCATGGTCATTGCCATGTGTGGGTGTAAGGATAATGGGTTAAGAATTCTGTTTAACATCGTATACTTGACAATTTGAAACAACATGAATGTGCTCAGTATTTGTGTTTGCTGTTGCTTAATAAATAAATGTTATTACAGGAAGTGTTGCAGCGTAGGATTGATTTGGCTGTTTTACCCAAGAGGGCATTTGCAGACCTACAGAAACATGGGTGGAATCTTGAGTGATGGCAAGCAATCCTTCTGAGGTTCCTAGAGAATTCTCTAGATGTACTGCCCCTGGTTTCTTGGCTCAGTTTGAATTAAATTTGGGGTTAGAAATAACTTCGTTTTACCTCTCCAGACTTTTCCTTGACTTATCGTCTCAGGTTTAAACTTTGAGAAGAACAGCTCAGTCCCCCGATATGGAGCCTCTCAAGTTGAAGATATGGGGAACATAATCTTAGCCATGATTTCAGAGCCTTATAGTAAGTATTGCTGTTGTAACAGCGTGGCCTAGAACTGATCCCACCATCTGTCCCTCAACTACACCTGGCATTTCCTCCCATTGTTTTGTCTTCCTAATAGCTAACATGATGACTTGCATGTTCTTACTTTTAGATCACAGATTTTCAGATCCAGAAAGAGTGAATTACAAATTTGAAAGTGGCACTTGGTGAGTACTTCCGTATTACCCTTTTGAGTTTTTTTGTTTTTACTCAAAATGTGACATTTAACTTGCCTTACGTTTTAGTAACTTTACTTAAACCTTTTGTCAATCTTCTATAAAAGATTTTGTTACTTAATGTAAACTTGGATATTGAAATTAAAATTTAATGAGGTATTGGCATTTTTTTCTCCTTTGACCTTAGGTACATCATACGTTCATATATGTGATGCTTATTTGAATCTTTTCAAATCTGTCCATTCTTTTGCATGGAAAACTTCCAAAAGAAAAACCATGGGGTTTAAAGGAGTTCATGATTTTTCCCAAGATAAAATTACATTCTATCAGTTTCTACCTTAAAGCAAAGAAATAATTGGGAAAGAGCATGAAGTGATGGGATCTCTGTTTGTAATCATAGGTAGACCTAGTTGAGTTTGTAAATCACTAGTGATTTGTGAGATCGCCTGGTGCATAAACTGAATAAAAACCTTAGGACAGATTTGCCCGTAGAGAGACTGAGTCCTGTTTAGTTGTAGAGAAAGTGACTCATTAGGAAAATGTCCTAGGAGTACTGAAAATGAATACGGGAGGGATAGAACATCAAAAGATGTCAGAATGTATGCTAGGTAATTTGCAAATGACTCACTGAGGTGTGGGGACTCCCAAGCATTTCCATAAACGCCCTCTGATGGCTCTCTGGTTTGATAGGGAGATATTTTATAGTAGACTGTGTGTACACACATTCCTGAGGTGAGTTAATTGCCAGCCCTAAACTTTGCAGGCAAACTAGATTTCAACTCCCTCCTATACTGGTGAGATCTGAAAATGAGTCTAAACCTATCCTCCTTGGTTGTAGGAATTTTCAAGCTATAAGGATGTTGGGAAAACTTTGCTTCCTATAAATTGATCCTGGGTACTTCTGAGTTTGTGACAAGCAAGCAGCTCTTCAGCTGATGGCTGGTTTGTTGGACAAGCTAGCTGGGTTGCACCTGTTTAGGCAGCCATATGTCTGTAGAGAAACACCTAAAGAATACGTTGACCTGAACCCAGATAATTTTTGAGGTTATAAAGAAAATCAGGCAATATTGAAAATCTGTCCAGATGAATAAGGTTTCTTATGTGTAAGTAGGCAGATTGACTCACGGAGGGAAATAGGTGTCGGATTTGCTTTCGCTGTGATCAGTGTGCGACCTGGAGTTTTGCTTCCTCCACAGCAGCAAGATGGAACTTATTGATGATAACACTGTAGTCAGGGCACGAGGTTTACCATGGCAGTCTTCGGATCAAGACATTGCGAGATTCTTCAAAGGACTCAATATTGCCAAGTTGGTTTCCTTTACTCTCTATTTTATTTAATAATCCCAAAGGGGTCAAGGGTTTCCTGTCATCTTCTCTCCACTATATATTTTCCCACCTGCCATCTGTTTTGTTATTTTCAAAGGGGAGGTGCCGCACTTTGTCTGAATGCTCAGGGTCGAAGGAATGGAGAAGCTCTGGTTAGGTTTGTAAGTGAGGAGCACAGAGACCTAGCACTGCAGAGGCACAAACATCACATGGGGACGCGGTACATTGAGGTATGTCCTCCCACAGCCAGAGACCATTGACAGCCTTAAGTGAGTGTCAAAATATATGGAAGGCTCGGAAACTCTGTGCTTAATTTTCTTTTCTTTTCTTAGGTTTACAAAGCAACAGGTGAAGATTTTCTTAAAATTGCTGGTGGTAAGTACATTTTATATAATGTGGCTTTAGCTAATTAGCTTCTCAGCACTGTAATGAAATGCCAGGGCAGGCTAACCTTGTAGAAGAAGGTTACTTTCACCTCAGTTCTGGAGGCTCATACTCCAAGATAGGGTGGTCCTGATTGGTTCTGCCTGGTAATGCTGTTCTTGCTGGCACGGAGTCCACAGGCAGTACAGAATGCCCTATGGCAAGAGCAGGGCTCTTGGTCTCTGTGCATCCTTTCTCCCTTTCGTTATAAAGCCACCAAGAGTGAATCATGGGGGCGTCTTAAAGTCTTAATGCAAGCTAATCACTTCCCAAAGGCCTACCCTAAACACCATAATTAGATTTATTTATTTATTTATTTATTTATTTTGACAGAGTGGACAGTGAGAGAGACAGAGAGAAAGGTCTTCCTTTGCCATTGGTTCACCCTCCAATGGCCACGCTGTGACCGGCGCACTGCACTGATCCGAAGGCAGGAGCCAGGTGCTTCTCCTGGTCTCCCATGCGGGTGCAGGGCCCAAGCACTTGGGCCATCCTCCACTGCCCTCCCAGGCCATAGCAAAGAGCTGGCCTGGAAGAGGGGCAACCAGGACAGAATCCCGCGCCCCGACCGGGACTAGAACCTGGTGTGCCAGCACCGCTAGGCAGAGGATTAGCCTGTTGAGCCACGGCACTGGCCCATAATTAGATTTTATATCCGCTTAGTATCATTAACATGAGACTTTGAAGACTAAATTCCTGAATTAGAGGTCACAAATTATGAAACCATAGCGATTAATAAAACTAAAAATTTTACATAAATACCAAGAATAGATAAATAAAATCATGGTTTTTATTTCCCAGTGAAACATGGAGATTGATTTTTTTTGGAAATAAAAACAAAAACAAAAACAAACTTCTAATTTAGTAAGCTTCGTGTAAAACATTTGGCTTAAGTCTTGAACCAACCTACTGTATAGGGAAAGCATCCCACACTGGAGTGTCTGTGATCAGGACCTGCCTCTGTTCCAGTCCAGCTTGCTGCTAGCACCTGGGAGGCAGCAGGTGATGCTTCAAGTACTAGGGTCCCTGCCACCCACATGGAAGGTCAGGCCTGGCAAACCAGCAGATGGAAGATAGCTCTTTGTGTTTCTTGTACTATCTATTGCTCTGCCTTTGAAATAAGTAAATGTTTTTCAAAAAAAGAAAGTAGATACTTGGTGTAGCAGCTAAGTCACTGCTTGGCTGCTTGCACCTCATATCAGAGGGCCTGGATTTGTGTCCCCACTCAGATTCTAAGTTATCTTCCCTCAAAGATTATCTGGGTTCAGGCCAAAGTGTTTTGTATTTAAGATTTATTTATTTTTTGAAAGGTAGTTACAGAGAGGCAGAAGCAGAAAGAGAGAGTCTTCCATCCACTGGTTTACTTTTCAAATGGCCAGAATGGCCAGAGCTGTGCCAATCTTAAGCCAGGAGCTTCTTCCAGGTCTCCCGCAGGAGTCCAAGCCTTGGGCCATCTACTGCTTTCCCAGGCCATACCAGAGATCTGGATCAGAAGTGGAGCAGCCAGGACCTGAAGGACACTTATATGGGATGCCAGTACTGTAGAACGGGGCTTTAACCTGCTGCAACTCAGCGCTGGCCCCAAAGTGGTTTTTTTTATGATTTATTTTCTTATTTGAGAAGCAGAATTACAGAGGGAGAGAAAGACAGGTCTTCTATGCACTGGTTTATTCCCCAGATGGCTGCAGTGGCTGGTGCTGGGTCAATCTGAAGCCAGAATCCAGGAGCTTCTTCAGGTCTCCCACATGTATGCTGGGTCCCAAGTACTTGGGCCACATTCCACTATTTTCCCAGGTGATTAGCAGGGAGATGGATCAGAAGTAGAGCAACCAGGACTTGAACATGTGACCATATGGGATGCCGGCGTCACAGGTGGAGGCTTAACCTACTATGCGACAGTGCTAGCTCCAGTCAGAGCATTCTTTAGGTATTTCACTGCATGCTGATTGTAGCAGGTAATGGCTCAAGTAGTTGGGTCCCTGCCACCCATGTGGAAAACCCAAATGCGTTTCTGAGATCCTGGCTTTGGCCTGACCCAGCCCGAGCACTGTGGTCATGTGGGAACAGATCCAGTAGATGGAAGACTTTGTGTTTGTCTCTGTGTTGTTCTGCCTTTCAAATAAATAAACTTTATTAAAGAAATTGTACTATATAGGGGCAGCAGGTGTTTGTCCTAGTAGTTACAACATGTGCGCCCCTCCTCAGCTCCAGTTTCCAGTTCTAGTCTCCTGTTGATGATGGACCCTAGGAGGCAGCCATGATGGCTCAGGTAGTTTGGTTCCTGCCACACAGGTGTAAGACTTGGTCTGAGTTCCTGGCCTTTGCAGGCATTGTGAGTTGGAGAGTGTTCCAGTGGATGAGAGCTCTTTTTTCCTCTGCCTCTCAAATAACTTTTTTTTTTTTTTAAGATTTATTTTATTTATTTGAAAGATAGAGTTGCAGAGAGGGAGAGACAGAAATCTTCCATCTGCTGATTCCCTTCCCAAATGGCTGCAATTGCCAGGACTGGTCCTAAGACCAAAGCCAGGAGCCAGGAGCTTCTTCCACATCTCCCATGTGAGTGCAGGTGCCCTAGGACTTCAGCCATACTCCTCCACTTTACCAGGCACATTAGCAGGGAGCTGGATCAGGAGTGGAGCAGCTGGGACTCTAAACCAATGCCCATATGGGATACAGGTGTACCAGGTGGCATTTTAACCTGCCGCACTACAATACTGGCCCTTCAGATAACTTTTTATAAGTACTATATAAAGGTCAAAGGATCATATGAAATCGTGTACAAAGGGAAGTGGTAGTTCTTGAAACCAAAGAGTCTGAAAAGTTGTGTGGTTTTGTTTTGTTTTGTTTTGTTTTGTTTTAGATTAATCTATTCATTTGAGAGGCAGAGTTAGAAGACAGAGAGGTCTTCCAACCACTGGTTCACTCCCCAGATGGCTGCAACAGTCTGAGCTGGGCCTATCTGAAGCCAGAACCTGGGAGCTTCTTCCCAGAAACCACTGGAAACGTCTTTCAAACAGGCCTATTGTAGTACCTAGCGTTAATCTTTTAAAAAGAAAATTACACCTATTGCCAAATTTTACTAAGGTGACTTTACTTAAATATGAAGAACATTGCATCCCCACATTAGGTAGCCCTGGTTAAATTTTTGCAGTAATGGAGTCCTGTTGGCACAATTTGATATATTTCTGTTCTGCCACTTATTTCTTTAGATTGGTGTGGGGAACCTTGGGAAACATTTTTCTGCCAAGGATCACTAGGATATTTCTAACATCATTCACAGGCCATAAAAAATTATCAGCTTAAAAATTAGCGTTCTATAAATGTATTGAATTTTGAGTCCTGCCTGTGGTTGCCTTGGTAGGCTAAACCAAATGATTTCCAGGGTCTTATGTAGCCTGCAGGCTAGACATTCTCCACTTCTGCCTTTAAAACTTAGGACTTTGAGTTTAGAAGAGTTTCCAAAGCTCAAAAGCAATGTCTGATGTTAGTTGAAGATAAAAGTATTTGGAGTTACTGTGGTCTTTCCTGGGTCCATGTTCAATGCACTGCAAACTGGGATGGCAGAGTGAACTCATCTTCACTTTGTTGCCTGGGATTTCATTGTATGTTGGTGGCATGCTAGGAGCTTGATATTAAGGGAAAATGTTCATAGTGCATGAGTTTGAAGGATGTGCTTTTGAGTATTTGCTACGTGACCACACTGTATGTAAAGCTTTGCATCGGTGATGTTGATAAACACTGAGACCGTGTGCCAAATATATTCCTTATCCTAATCTCTCTGCTTCAGGGATAGGAACATTTGGCCTGCAGGTCTTTTAAGCCCTTTGGAATCATTTGGTCTGACCCTGCCAAGGCAACTATAAATGGGACTCAGAATCAATAAATCTATGGCAGGCTCATTTTTAAGTTGATAATTTTGTATAGCCTACCAATGTTATAAATATCAAAATAGTGGCTGGCGCTGTGGTGTAGCAGGTAAAGCCGCCACCTGCAGTGCCAGCATCTCATATAGGTGATGGTTCTAGTCCTGGCTGCTCCACTTCTGATCCAGCTCTCTGCTATGGCCTGGGAAAGCAGTAGAAGATGGCCCAAGTCCTTGGGCCCCTGCACCCACGTGGGATACCTGGAAGATGCTCCAGGCTCCTGGCTTCAGATTGGCCCAGCTCCAGCCATCACAGCCATCTGGGATGTGAACCAGCAGATGGAACACCTCTCTCTTTCTCTGCCTCTGCCTCTCAAATAATAAATTAATAAATCTTTTAAAAATAAAATAAATGTCCAAATGATCCTTGGAAGAAAAAAAGTTCCCCTCCCATGCTGCTTGAATATATTTAAATATGTTTGAGCTTTTCTTAAAAGTAATCAGAATGGGACCAGCATTGTGACGTCAGTGGTCAAGCCGCTACTTGCAACACCAGCATCCCAGATGGACTCCCATTTTGGGAGTGAACCAGTGGATGGAAGAGCTGTCTCTTCCTCCTGTCTGTAACTCTTTCACATAAATAAAAGAAATATTAAAAAAAAAAAAGAGGGTATAAAAACAAAAAGCCATAGAAATATAGTGATATATATATGTTAACCTACTTAATTCTCACAACATGTGATGTAGACAATTTTGCAGGTAAGAAAACTAAAGTATGGAGGTTAAGTTTAACTAAGGTCAGACCTCAGCAAACACCAAAACCAAGATTAGACCCAGGCATTCTTGCTCTAGGATCTGTACCATGGCTCACTTGGTTAATCCTCTGCCTGTGGCGCTGGCATCCCATATGGGCGCCAGGTTCTAGTTCCGGTTGTTCCTCTTCCAGTCCAGCTCTCTGCTGTGAGCCAGGAAGACAGTGGAGGATGGCCCAAGTGCTCGGGCCCCTGCACCCATGTGGGAGACCAGGAAAAGCACCTGGCTCCTGGCTTCAGATTGGCGCAGCGCGCTGGCCGTAACAGCCATTTGGGGGTGAACCAAAGGAAGGAAGACCTTTCTCCCTGTCTCTCTATCTCACTTTCTAATTCTGCCTATCTAATAAAAGAAAAAAAAAGACAGATGGTTGTTGCATGATTTGATTATCTGAGCAGCTTTCTCAATTAAGAGGGGGTGTTTTATGAAAATGATAGGGAAAGAGTTTGTTCAGGGAAAAGAGATTCCTAATTCCTAGGATCTTAATCATTATGAATTCAGTATGAGTGTGGGTCTGAATTATATATTCAAGATAATGCCAGGAATTTTTAGTGTTTGAATGAATAAACATGATGTCTTAACTCTTGGTTCCCCATGCTTCCTTATGTTTGTTTTCCCTAGGTACATCCAATGAGGTAGCACAATTTCTCTCCAAGGAAAATCAAGTCATTGTGCGCATGCGAGGGCTGCCTTTCACAGCCACTGCTGAAGAAGTGGTGGCCTTCTTTGGACAGCATTGCCCTATCACAGGGGGGAAGGAAGGCATTCTGTTTGTCACCTACCCAGACGGTAGGCCTACAGGGGATGCTTTTGTCCTCTTTGCTTGTGAAGAATATGCACAGAACGCATTGAGGAAGCATAAGGACTTGTTGGGTAAAAGATACATTGAACTCTTCAGGAGCACAGCAGCGGAAGTTCAGCAGGTGGGTTTTGAAGATGATGTGGTAACTGTATATTAATTTCTTTTCTCCTTTGAAAACAGCCTTATGCTAGTCATTATGTTAAAATACACTTTGAAGAATATAGAGAGTCCAAGGAAATGAGAATTGTCTGACTCCATAACCAAAAGAAACCATACTGTGTCTTCATATAACTAGAGCAGTGCTGTAGAGAAAGCTTATGCATTCTGTTTCAAAACTACTACATGTCTTGAAAGCTTAACCATGTCTAAAATGTGTATCTCATGAAAGTAAATACTTCTTCTTAAAGTTTCTCTATTGTACATTTGAGTGCAGACTTTATTTAGAAATTCCATTATTGTGTACTTGGGTTGCTTTTTTCCTGACCAAAAGAAATTTCCACATACACATATAAGTTTCCTAAGAATGCTCATAATTAGTCAAGTTTTCAGGTTTTTAACATCTTGCCAATTGTATTTTCCCAAAAGGCTTCATCACTTTCTTGCCTACTGGTTACTTTCTATCCTAGCTTTAGAATTCAGAGTTGTTGGATTTGTTTTTAAAGATTGGCATGACAGTGTGGGTGACACACACACACATACACAGGGAGTGAGAGAGCGATATCTTCTACCAACTGGTGTACTTCCCCAGATGCCCACAGCAGCCAGGGTTGGATCAAGCCAAAGCCAGGAACGAGGAACTCTGGGTCTCCCACATGGATGACAAGAACCAAGGTACCTCAGCCATCATTTGCTGCCTCCCGGGTAGGGTAGCAGTATGCTGGATTGGAAGCAAGGGAGTACTTGTTCCCAGGCACTTTGATATAGTATGTGAGCTTCCCAAGTGTTAGTGTAACCCAGTGTCCTGCAATGCCTCCCCTGGCATTGTTGGTTTTGAAAGGCAGAGTTACAGAAGGAAAGATATTCCATCTACTGGTTCACTGCCCAAATGGCTACAATGGCCATGGCTGGGCCAGGCATCAGCCAGGAACCTGGGAATCCAACCAGGTCTCCCACCTGGGTGGCAGGGGCCCAAGTACTGGACTATCTTCTGCTGCGTTTCTAGGTACAGTAGCAGGGGGCTGGATTGGAAGTGCAGTAACTAGGACCTGAGCCAGAACTCATATGGGATGCCAGCGTTGTAGCCATTTGGCTGCTTAACCTGCTGTGCCACAATGCTGGCTGCACAGAATTGTTTTTAAGGCACAAAGTGGGGCAGTCACTTCTCCAAAATGTACTAAGATCCAGACCATGAAGCCATCTGTAGGATCTCATGCCTTTTGACTCTTCTTGGCTTATCATCTGCACATGTCTTCAGAGGTCAGTTTGTATTTCCTTTGTGATGATGTCATATATGCTGCTGTACACGGCTCTTCAAACTTATTCTGCTTGTTTCCCACAGTGAAAGAATTCTTTTAATGATTCTTTTGGTCTCTTTTGCAAGCATTTAGGATACTTAACTCTATTATTATTTCTGTGAGTTCATCCAATTATTTTGTCTAGCTTATGCAACCTACTGTATATTGTAATTTTAAAATAATTGCTCAAGAATGCTCTTACCTACTAGGATGTCATACAGTGGTTTTGGATATGGGTGAGCTTCTTCTCCATTTCTCCATCCCAGTTGACTTGCCTATCAAGTGTCAAAGTAATGTGGCTTTGCCACTATCTTCTCTTCATCACTAATAATCATTTCATTCAATAAATACTTGCTTAACTATTGTTTGGCAGGTGTTGTAAAGTGTTTGGCCATTTCCTGTCCTGAATTTGTCAATTACTACGTTGGTTTTTCTGTTCTTGTTCTTCACCTTATGCTTTTGTTGCATCTAGATTGCATAGTTTGGTACTTTTTTGTCAAGTTTTTGTGTCTCTGTTACAGCATTTCTTTGGTTGTGCTTTGTTCTTTGTTTTTAATCACCTCTTATTCTGACAGCAACTACACAGGGAATGAGTGAGGAAATTAGTCCACATTTTTGAGAAAGACTCACTGATTATTTTCTTTTCAGTTTATTTAATGTTAAAGGCTGTGGTGGTTAAGTCGCTCAGAAAATCTGTGGATACCATAAACCAGGACCTAGCTCTTAGTATTGTGAAGTAGCTGACATGCTCTAAGACAAAGATGGATGAAAAGCCTGCAGGAAGGGTTTTGCCCAGGACAATTTTTCTCAAAAATGCACCTGACCAACCATAATCCATTCTCAAGATGGCTGAATTCCATGAATCTAAAATACGCTCAACATCTTGTCTTTGCACCGTCTCAGAGTCACATGGAAACTAAATTAATATGGATCTTTCTGGTCACCAAATTTTTTTTCTGTTTTAAATTATCCAACCATTATGTCATGTACTACTTTGTGATATTTTATATATATGTACATGTATATAATATTTTAGATTTATTTATTTGAAAGGCTTTGTTACAGTGACTGAGGGGGAAAGGTTGATCTTCTATCCACTGATTGACTCCCCAAATGGCTGCAATGGCCAGGCTGGGCCAGGCTGGAGCCTGGAACCAGGAGCTTCCTCTGTATCTCCCATGTGAATACAGAGGCCCAAGCACTTGAACCATCCTGCTTTGCTTTCCCAGGCACATCAGCAAGGAGCTGGATCAGAAGAGGAGCAGCCAGGACTTGTACCAGTGTCCATATGAGATGCCAGCATCACTGGTGGCAGCTTTACACACCATGCCGCAATGCCATCCCCAGAATTTTAGTATCTAAAGTCATTATTGGGGGACTGGTGCTGTGGCTTAGCAGGTAAAGCCGCCACCTGCAGTGCCAGCATCCCATATGAGTGCCGGTTCAAGTCCTGGCTGCTCCACTTCTGATCCAGCTCTCTGCTATGGCCTGGGAAAGCAATAGAAGATAGCCCAAGTGCTTGGGCCCCTGCACCCACGTGGGAGACCCAGAAGAAACTCCTGGCTCCTGGCTTCAGATCGGCCCATCTCCAGCCATTGTGGCCAACTGGGGAGTGAACCAGTGGATAGAAGCCTCCCCCCTCCCCCCCGCCGCCGCCGCCTCTCTTCTCTCTGTTGTAACTCTTGACTTTCAAGTAAAAAATAAATCTTTAAAAAAATAAAAGTAAAGTCAATGTTAGGCCTGTGTTTTCTATATAGAGCCTTTCTCTTTATTTCTTGGGTTTAGAAGTGGACTATGAAGATGATATTAATGGGACTATTGTGTAATTAGTGAAATGAAATCTAATAAATTGCAACTGAAGTCCACATTTAGCAACATGTCCAGATTTTTATAAAAGTGGCAAACTTTAAGATACTTACCCTAAGGGAAATAGTGATAGAATTGTCCAGGTAGACACATCCTCAATCTGAGGGCATTGCATTGTGTGTGGTGTATGTCTCGTTGGGTATTTGAAGAGAGTGGGTATCATGCTTTGCAAGTTAAAATGCGTGAATGGCTTCCTTCATTAGTGCCTCTCAAACTTGAATGCACTTATGAATCACCTGGAAGTAAACAGCAGATTTGTATTTACAAGGGTGGAGTTGAGTTTGCATTTCTAGCAGGCTTCTCACTGCTTCCTGTGCAGGTCTGCAGGCTGGCAGTAGAAAGGCTCTAACTCGCTTCTGCTTTGTTTTGAGCACAGGTGCTGAATCGATTCTCCTCGGCCCCTCTCATTCCACTTCCAACCCCTCCCATTATTCCAGTACTACCTCAGCAGTTTGTGCCTCCTACAAATGTTAGAGACTGTGTACGCCTTCGAGGTCTTCCCTACGCCGCCACAATAGAGGATATCCTGGACTTCCTGGGCGAGTTCTCTACAGATATTCGTACACACGGGGTTCACATGGTATTGAATCATCAGGTAAGAAAGGTGCTGCCTAGAAAATTTAACTGACCTCTGCTTTCTGATTATCAAAGGCTCTCTTCTAATAAAAAGATTGCAGGGGATGGTGCTGTGGCATAGTAGGCTAAGCCTCCACCTGCAGTACCAGCATCCATCCTATATGGGTGCCGGTTCGTGTCCTGGATGCTCCTCTTGTGATCCAGCTCTCTACTTATGGCCTAGGGAAGCAGCGGAAGATGGCCCAAGTGCTTGGGCCCCTGCACCCATGTGGGAGACCCAGAAGAAGCTCCTGGCTTTGGAGTGGCACAGCCCTGGACCTTGCGTCCACCTGGGAGTGAACCAGCAAATGGAAGACCTCTCTGTTTTTTCCTGTCTGTCTGTAACTCTGCCTCTCAAATACATTTAAAAAAAAATCATAAAAAAGTGCAAATATTCCTCAGGTTTATGCTAAGTCTTTAAGGAAAAATATGAGAAATGAAAGAGGGCTTTAGGGTGAACTCTGGAAAGAATGCTATCATTAGTGTGATAATTCAAATTCAGGTCTGATTCCTTCATCAAACTTAACCTTTTGCATTATCAGTAGCCTGTGGTTGGAGCCATATATAAAATCAATGTAAATGACTTTTTCCTATTACATCTGAAAATGAACTCCTGTTCTGTTAGAGTAACCATGGACGATACATAGATAAGCATGCCTGTAGTTCAGAGCATTTTGCCTCTGTGAAGAACTATTCAGTAATGGCTTGATGTATTTCATTTGTATGTAAGGCATCATATTCGATTCAGTAAAATGCACACTCAGTATTTGCAGCCACACCAGCTAGAACAGGATGTGGGTCATAATTGGTATTTGAGTGTGTTAATGAATTAAAAACCTCCATCAAAATCTGACTTCTTTGAATATGGAAGTGTGAAGTATTATCCAGGTTGGTGTTACTTGATTTGCAGTTTAACATAATTAATCATATTAGTTGGACAATTTATAAGTATTTTATGCTGTTGTAAGTCGGAAGAAATTCTAAAATTTTAAGCCAAGTAAGTAGTTGTAATTAAAACTTTAGAACATGTTATTGAAAGCAAAGTTTTATTTTTAATAATGCTTTCTGAGCACTATGGGTTGAATCTAGACTTTTATTAAAAATACTATATTTTAAGATTTATTTATGTGTTTATTCGAAAGGCAGAGTTACAGAAAGAGGGAGAGACGGGGGAGAGAGTTCAATCTTCGATCCGCTGGTTCACTCCCCAAATGGACACAACTGCCAGGGCACAGGACTGCTGCTTTCCCAGGCACAATAGCAGGAGCTAGATTGGAAATGGAGCCGAGGGGATCGAACCAGTGTCCATATGGGGTGCTTGAGATGTAGGTGGCAGATTAACCTGCTACACCACAGTGCTGGCCCCTACCGTAATTTTTGTGATACTGCTGATTTCCTACCTTTTCCCTTGGAGATTTGGTCATTTTCCTAATTGTTATTTTATATCACTGGGAAGCACATGCCTCTGGATACACAGAATCAGCAAACATCCAAAGCACTTGCTTAGTTTCTTTCTTTTTTTAAAAGATATTTATTTACTTGAAAAGCAGAGAGTGAGAGAGAGCTTCCATCCGCTGATGCACTCCCCAAATGGCTGCAGCAGCCAGATATGGGCTAGGCCAAACCCAGGAGCCTGAAACTATCGAGGTCTCCCTGGTGGGAGTCAGGGGCCTCAGTAATGAAGCCATCATCTGCTGTCTTCTCAGGAGCATTAATAGGAATCTGCATTGGAAGTGGGGAGCCGAGACTCAAACTAGCGGTGCAGCATGGGGATGCCAGTGTCACAAGTGGTGGCTTCACGTGCTGTGCCCGATGCTGCCCCCTGGCTTAGCTTTCTTCACCAACACATGCCCATTCTAACTCCTGAGTCAATATTAAGCTAAACAACTTTGGACATGATAGTCTGCTGTCAGCATACTTCTACTGTAGGAGTCCTTATCAGTAAAATTCCCCACAGTTTAGCATCACCAGGATATAACTTGATTTCTTTTTTTGAGTCCCCATTTCTAACAACCTAGGGCCATTACTCTTTGATCAATAACAGTAGTCAGACTTGCCTCTTATTAACCCACGTGACTGACTGTGAATGCACTTGGGAAAAATGCTCTTTGTTGATGGACAACTCTTAGCTGTCTTAAGGATGTTAGATTTCCATCTTGGAGTGGGGTTTGTGCTCACTTCCCTGGTGTGGTAACTCTTATGGTAACTTGCATGGTAATGATTTGGACTAAGTAGTTCCTAAGCAACTTTCAGAGAGAACCATAAAAATAAGAAAACACTTGTATAAACTGATTGTATTTTTTTCTCTGCTATGAAATGTTAACACTAAGTAAAACCAAGGTGTTCGAGGTCTGTGGAGCAGAAAGCTACAGGCTTGGTTTTAAATACAAGCTTTTAGTAAGCCATCATTAACGGAAAATGACTATGAATGGTTGGACAAAGTTGAAGGTGGTGGTGCGAAGGAGGAGGTAAGATAAGGGCTCCTAGGCAAGGCTAATGATCCAGTTCTCACCAGCCATCAGTGTGCCTTGCCAGTCTCAGTTCGTACCCTCAAGCCCACTTAAACATAGGCTGCAAGGACAAGGGAAGTGTGAAAGGGATCTGGCAAGTCAGAGATGACCTACAACTGAGATCCAAGAGTACTGGTTTGTTCAGTTGGCTGGAGAAGGATATGGAAAGCTCTGATAGTGGCTCTGTTACTGGCTTTTCTCAGTCCAGTGAGATTTAATCAGATTTTTCAGAAGAGGAGGGAAAAATCCAACATACAATCTTATACTCAAGCCACAGTCACAAGGAGACCCTTTCAAAACTATAAATCTGATAGTAATTAACAGAAACCAAAAAGGGATCGCTTTCAGCTATGAGCTCTCAAAACTGCTTCTTCAAGGTTTTGTGGGCCATTCTGGTGATTAGGTGATGAAATGCAAGTCAGATTTCAGTAGATCAAACTGTCACCCGGATTTTGCAGCTACAATGTCGGTAGTGTGGGTGATTGCCACTCACATGTTTTGTAAGCAAGCATTTATTTCCTTGTTGAAGGAGACAGTCTCCTTTTGTTTTTATTCTTCCCCCACACACTCAGGGCCGCCCGTCAGGAGATGCCTTTATCCAGATGAAGTCTGCGGACAGAGCATTTATGGCTGCACAGAAGTGTCATAAAAAAACCATGAAGGACAGATATGTTGAAGTCTTTCAGTGTTCAGCTGAGGAGATGAACTTTGTGTTAATGGGGGGCACTTTAAATCGAAATGGCTTATCCCCACCGCCATGTAAGTTACCATGTAAGTTTTTCTTGGGTCTTGGCGCTATTCTACGCTGTATGCTGGTAGGTGCTTAAGCTGCTTTCATACTTTTCTGTGGCCCTGGTTCTTTCTGAGGCAGGTGAGGTGGTCATGTCAGGCTTTCCCATCTATAATCAGTAGTATCTGGTAATCGTTGAAGACCTTGGTTGTGGACACCCATACTTAGAGATGCTATAAAACCTCCTTTCAAATTATATTCCTGCTTTTCCAGTGATAAGCGCTTGACTTCTGAAGCTTAGTGTGCTCCAGATAAGCACTGACTCTGGGAGGCAACCTGGCTATGTAAATATTTCAATGCGCATATAAAGATAAAATATCCTATGGTAGCACCCCCCCTTTTTTTTTTAACATATTAAGCTTTTAAAAGTGTGTTTTTGATGCCCATTTTGCATTTAACTTTTTGACCATCAAGTATTTTTTGGAAACAATGATCCGAAGAGTTTTCCTATTGCTCCCCCCAGGATACCTGGAATGGGCAAGTTGGTGAAAAGTATAAATGCGTATGTGAACAAGCCAAAGTTTCCGTTGGATCACAGGATCAGTGCTTAATTTCAAGCCATTCTCTTGCTCCTTGGCAACTGGGTACAAGCCATCTGGAATCCTGTTTGAGAGGAATAAGCCCTGTAGTCTAGAGACCAATTCTAGTTAGTGACTAAGGATCATTTGGGGATCTAAGGTTAAATCCTGAATCTTTTAAAATGCACTTTCTACTTATAACTAAGGCATACCTTGTTAAACATGTTGGGTATGTTTAAAGAATACAATACTTGAAATACAGTGAAAAGAAAATTGAGAAAGTAAACTGGATTTATATGCTTGATTCCAATAAAGTGGCAAGTTCCAGGCATCACTCTCTAGGAAAGAGGAAACTGTACCTCTAAACCTGTTTGATGTGCATTATTTGTAGAACATCTGGTGGGGCTTAATCCTTATTACCCCTTGGAATTCCTAAACGCTAATAATCCGTGTACCTGCTGCTTGCTGTTGGTGAATATCTGATTGTTGGTCATTAATGAGTATCAAGTGTTAAAAATTTATGATTGGGTTTAACAAGATATCTTAAAGCAGTCATAGTTGTATGTCTTCTGTCCATAGCCATGATAATGTCACTAGTCTCTATAATGTCCTTTAGAGATAATCTATTAAGCATTGTGAGATAAAGGAATTTCTCCATTCTTTGTAACCCAAATGCCTTTGCTTTGATACCCTTTTGTTTCATTCTCTTCCTGGTGAAAAACAGACTTTATTTCTTTCCTTTCCCCCCTCACAAGCCCTAAAATAGAAAAAATTTAAAACTTATATTTCACTTAAGAATGTGTTTTCCTATGTTTTGTTGCATTTAATACTTACCAAAAATGAGGTTAAAGTTTTTAACCAAAATTGGGCCATTGCCTTTTTAGTGGGATAGTTTATATTTTAGGAAACCCGAATTTCAGTTTATACACATTAATATTAGACCTGTCCTAATGTATTTTTTCTCCTGGCAACACAGTTTAAGTAATTGCCTAATGACACTCACAGGAATTGGATTTTTAATCTCAAGGACTAAAACAATTAAAATAATAATTTGTTTTCATTCCCCACAAAAGAGTTTGTTTCTGAATTTGGCAAAGAAAGGCTGCTTGAGTCTCATTAAAGTTTGTTGCTTGAATTCACGGGGAATGAACACTGTAAGTTGAGCTTCATTTTTATAGCTGTATACACATCAGATTCTCTGTTAGGAAATAAGAATGGTTAACCTTTCATTTGAATAATTCCCAAATCTTAACACCTTGATCTCTTTCGTTATCAAAAATGTCTGTCATTGTGCCAAAGCAGAAGAGACAGATACCTAGTATGTGTGTGTCTTAAAGGTTTGAGGTACTCTCCCAGACAGAATTGCTTGATAATTTTGATGGCAGAATGGGAACACAAACTAAAATTTTTTATAAAATTTAGGTGCCTTAATTTGTGCTGTTGGCCTTTTCTGTGAGCTCTTTAAGGCCAGGGATTATAATTTCGAGGTTTATAGGCACCTAACATGTAGCATGATTTCTGGTGAGTGTGAAAGAAACACAATTTGAATGTTGGCCTTCAGTCTACATATTCATATTCAGTTGACTGTCTTGCTCATCTTTGTGAAAATGTAGAAACTCCCAAGAACCAAAGTCAGTTTGAAGTCATCTTGGGGTTTTTCATGTGAAAAGTTATCCATTGGGCCCCTGTTCTTTGCAAAATAGGGTAGGTTTAGACGAACTTTTAAGTCAGGAACCCAAATTACTCAGCTTCTCCTCTACTGGGTGCAGATAACTTGGGAAGCTGTGTTCCTCCTCTAGGTTAAAGCTAGTGAGCCGGGAGTGGTCTTGAAGGAAGGGAGTTTCTGAGCCCAAGAGATGTTGAATTACCAGAAGGCAAAGAATTTGAGCCGTTTTCTATTTTATCTGAGCCAGCTTTTATCAGCTGACTCTCAGGAGGAATTGCACCTCCATGACTTCAGGGCTGTTTCCCGGATTGGAGTTTTCTTTTGACAGCTCTGAAGATACAGATTAGCTTCAGAGCCCATCTTCTGAGTTGCCTTTGGTGGGAATAGCAGAGACGATCTCCTTGTAGCTCCATTCTTGGCACAATCTGCCCTGGCAGAGTGGTACTGATACAGAGTGTTTCATCATAACCATTCCTGGTGTTCTGAAAGGTAGCTAACAAGATGGAGTGTGATTAAGGAAAAAGCAATCCAGCATTTTAGGTTGAAACACCAAATGTTAGTCCTGTGACTCCTTCCTTTGAGGGTTGGTTGGTGGTAACAGGTTCTTAGTGTAAACAACAAAAATCACATGTTGTGATGCTTTTTTCTAAATTTTAGCCTGAAAATGGTTCTTTGGGTTGACAGTGTGACATTCAAGTTTACTTCTGTGTGTTACCTACGAAATCAAAAGGATGTTGCCTGGTCTCTTTCTTTTAAATGCACCCACGGAACAGTGGCTTTATGGCTTTAGTGCTAGGATGTTTATGTCAGCTGTTACAAACGTGTCTCAAAGACCCTCTCTTTGTTTCTTTAGGCCTGTCTCCTCCTTCCTACACATTTCCAGCCCCTGCAGCGGTGATTCCTACTGAAGCTGCCATTTATCAGCCCTCTGTGCTTTTGAATCCGCGTGCACTGCAGCCCTCCACGGCCTACTACCCAGCGGGCACTCAGCTCTTCATGAACTACACTGCGTACTATCCCAGGTGAGGCTCGAGGAAAGTGGAGACAGAACAGAAACAAAGGACTCCTTTGACAGCCAGTGCCTGAGCTCACAAAAGAGCATTGTCTGCCGTGAGGAAGGTTAGCACGGCAGGCTGCAGCTTCCGGTCACGTCTGACTAGGAGGGTGGCTTCAAGAAGAACCGAGAGACGTTTACTTTTAGCCACATAGTGATAGCATGGTCTTTTAGGTTACCTGGGTATACAGCTTGACTTTTTCGTTCCTCCTATCATGGGGCCATGAGTAGCACTGTAATCCCTGTAATAGGGTGAGAGGATCACACAGAAGAATCACAAAAAAGGAAAATCCATAACAGGAACACTTAATTTTTTTCCAATTTTTAAAAAATTTTTTAAGGATTTATTTATTTGAAAGTTAGAGTTACACAGAGAGGTATTCCATCCGATGGTTCACTTCCCAATTGGCCACAATGGCTGGAGCTGTGCCGATCAGGAGCCAGGATCTTTTTCCGGGTCTCCCACGCAGGTACAGGGGCCCAAGGACTTGGGCCATCTTCTACTGCTATCCCAGGCCGTAGCAGAGAGCTGGATCAGAAGTGGAGCAGCCAGGATTTGAACCAGTGCCCATATGGAATGCTGGCACTGCAGGCGGTGACTTTACCCACTACACCACAGTGCCAACCCCAAACGCTTATATTTTTAAATAACATGTATTCATAGGCCAGCCCACAATAAATAAGAACTGTTGCATTAAGTTTTCCAGGGCTTGCATTCTTTTCCCCAAACCTTTCCAATAAACAGATCCAGATTTGTTTGTAGGCTATTGATTTATTTTCTTAGTTTCAATATATTTTAAGTCTTGGATTCTTTTTAGTCGTGTTCAATTCCCTGGGTAGTAGCAAAGTATAATGGAGAGAATCTTGTCAGTCTAAGAGCTGAGAGGTCTGAGTTTCAGTTTCATCTCTGAAATGGGGCAACTCACTTAACATTTCTGGACCTTACAAAATGATGGGATTGGCCAAGTTTTTGGAGTCTCTTTCAGGTCTATTGCTTGTGGTTTTAATTTGGCTATCTAATGAATGACTTCTTATTCTCAATTATTTTTTCAAAAAAATCTGAAGAATCATTAGTAACCAGTTCACTCTATTAAAATAAAATTTTATTTGACCAAAGCAGTATTGATTAGAATTTTCAAAACAAAATGATTTATACCAGACAGTCTGTTTTCCTCCCAAACTATATAGTGTAAGTGGTTTGAGAACATCCATGGGTGTGTAATTGGGACTTTTGTTAAGTTTCCATGGAACTAGCCTGAGTCCTACACTTGCTGTGTTTCTCACTGTGTTTCTACCCCTCCAATAGATAGTTTTGCAGTAGTTGGCAAGAACTTCAAGGCCTTATAGTAGTTGTAAAGTTTGTGGCTGCTATCAATTAACATTTGTTTGTTTTTATTTTTATATTTATTTGAAAAAGAGAAACCGAGATCTCCCATTTAATGGTTCATGCCCCACATGCTCCCCGTAGCCAGGGCTGGCTAGACTGAAGCAAAGAGCATGGAATTCAATGTGGGTCTCCCACATGGATGGCAGGAACTCAAGTCCTTGGGCCATCACCTACTGCCTTTCAGGGTGTGCATGAGCAGGAACCTGAAATAAGAAGTAGAGCTGGACTTGAATTCGGGGCATTCTATCTGTTATGGGATGTTGGAGTCCCATCCGCTAGCTTACTGCTATACCAAATGCCCATCCCTGCATTTGTTTATTTTGTTAGAGGAGGTTTGAAAACATTAATGCTACTGAAAATGTTCTTTATTCTGCTGGGGAAGAAGAATAGAGATAAAGCCACAATAGCTGTCAACTAGCCATCTTCTGTGTTGTTGAAAAGGTTCAGGAGCATGAGTAACCAAGGATTTGTGGTTGTGGATCGTGCCAGGCTCCTAGCCCAAGCCCAGTCTGTCACCTTCTCTGGACTCTGACAATCTGTTGCTGCTGTTGGGCTCTAGTTACAAGGAAAGTCTTTGTCTACCTTTCTTATGTCACCAGAATGTCAGGTGTGGAATGCATTGTGCCTCTGAATGAATGCCTAGTGTAGTTCTTTTGCCTACAATACCCTTACAGAGTATCCACTCCTACCACTGTCTTGCTCTCTGGCACTGTTACAAGAAGGAATCTTAAAGGTTAGACAATGAGACTAGAATTGAAGCCCCAAAAGGCGAGGAAGAACTGACATTTATGGTTTAATAGCTCCTGTAATTTTTGTCTCCTGCCAGATCTACTTGTTTTTTGTTTTTGAGGAGAAGCTCCAGGCTCCTGGCTTTGGATCGGCCCAGCTCTGTCCATTGCAGCCATTTGGGGAGTGAACCAGTGAATGGAAGACCTCTCTGTCGGTCTCTCCCCCTCCTGTCTGTAACTCTACATCTCAAATAAATCTTTTTAAAAAAAAAGAAAGAAATAGTTGGACAGTCAGGCAACAGAATTTTGGGCAATTACAATGATATTGGCATGATAATAATGGGCTGTGAGAAGGTAGTTTAGCAAAAGGAAGCTTGAATTGCGAAATCTAACCTTTTTTTGAGAACTGACTTATTTGAAAGGCAGAGCAACAGAGGAAGAAAGATCTAGCCACCGATTCACTCCCCAGATGACCACAACAGCAAGTGTTTCTAAGTGGTCAATGCCGTGGCAGTTTTCTGAATGTAAACTTTTGGGAAAACTCTTCTTGTGATTTTCTTTTTCCTGTCATTTCCATTCCAGTCTCCTTAGTTCTGTGTTGAGGCAGCCCTAGAAGAGTTCCTTATGCAGTTCAAGTACAGTCACATTTCTCCCACATTGTAGAGTCTTTGAATTCAGTGTTTTCTTGGCTTGCTCATTTGACCCTCACTTACTGGTTCTTCAGGACAGGAACCTAAATCCTTAGACCGGCATTTGTTGCCCTCAGGTATCCCAGCATCCCAAGCAGCAGCTTAACCCAGTGCTCCACAAGGCCTGTCCCCAGCAGCGTTTCTTTTTTTTTTTTTTTTTTAAGATTTTATGTATTTATCTGAGAGGTAGAGTTGCATATAATGAGAGGGAGAGACAGAGAAAGGTCTTCCTTCCGCTGGTTCACTCCTCAAATGGCCTCAAGGGCCGGAGCTGCACCAATCTGAAGCCAGGATCCAGGAGCTTCTTCCAGGTCTCCCACACCGGTGCAGGGGCCCAAGGGCTTGGCCATCTTCCTCTGCTTTCCCAGGCCACAGCAGCGAGCTGGATTGGAAGAAGAGCAGCCTGGACTAGAATTGGTACCCATATTGGATGCCCACACCATATGTGGAGGGTTAACGTATTGCACCACAGCACCGGGCCCTCAGCACCATTTCTTGAAAAAATCATTCTTTCCAAATTGAATTGTATTGGAACCTTTATCAAAAAATCAACCATGTAAGAATTGATTTCTATTCTCTCTATTCCACTGATCTATATGTCTTTCCTTATGCTAGTATGAGAGTATCATGATTACTATAGTTGTGTAATAAGGTTTGTGTTTAGAGGTTTTCCATCCGCTGATTCACTTCCCACGTGGCCACAACAGCCAGAGTTGGGCCAGTCAGAACCCAGAAGCTTCATCCAGGTCTCCCACATGGGTGGCCGAGTCCTACACACTTGAGCCTTTTGCTGCTGCCTTTCCCACGAGTGTTAGCAGGGAACCGGATCAGAAGGCCCCAAGCACTTGGGCGATCTTCTACTGCTTTCCCAGGCCATCAGCAGGGAGCTGGATTGGAAGTGGAGCAGCTAGGACCTGAACTGGCACCCATATGGGATGCTGGTGCTGCAGGTGGAGGCTTAACCTACTACGCCATGGCACTGGCCTCTCTATTTTGTTTTTATTCCACAAATTATTTTTGCTCGTTCTTATGTAATTCACAAAAAGACTGGAGTTTAGAGTTAATGTAAAATTCTTCTTACATTACATTCTTCTGTTGGAATTATAGGATAGAATTATCCTTACAATTGCTGTATACAACGGGTAATCATAGTTCTAAAAAATAGGAGTAGGAATTCATGTTGGGTTTCAGTTTCATCAGAATAGATGCAACCTTAGATTTTAAATAAAATTTTTAGTTATCACCTCAAAATCTGCTAAATAACCTTTATCTTACCTTAGCTATTTTTTATCTTAATAGTGTTCAGATACCATCAACCCCAGACTTAATATATAGAAGATTTTTAGCGAATAAAATGTCAGGACAGACCTGTGAAGTTGTATGGTATTGGAAATAGTGTGACTTTCATGTTGATTATGGAAAAGTCTGAGTAATGGAGTAACTGGGGAGGTCTTTGATCTTGAATATTAGACTAGTTAGTAGAGAGGAACCATTGAACTAGATGTTGAGAAATCTGATTGCTTCTTCCAGGTTGGGAAAGTGCTAACTGGTTGATTGGCCAGTTGGGAAATTATGTAACTTACTTTCTGTTTCCACCTTGGTAAAACCGAGGCGTGGTTGAATGATGGCTAAAATTGTATTCCAACCAAAAACTCAGCATTCCCTCTTACAGTTGCACAAAAACTGACTTGGAGTCTCTCAACAGCAGTTTTCAACCTTGGTTTCTATTTGGATCACTTGGAGACTGCTAAAATAAATTGACCAACTGATGTCTGGGTTTCACTTTATTTACTTTATAAAATTGTTGTAGTGAAATCTCAACAGAAGTGTGGAAAACTCCCCAAGTGACTTGCAAACAATACTTAGTACCACTGCTTTTGAGACCTGTAAACTTAAGGGCAACATTGCTGAGAAGTAATATTTTCAGGTTCCAGTTTTTAAAATGATGGGATAGAATAAATTATGGAAATAGCAAAACTGAGATATGTTAAAGCTTTTTGTGGTTTATAGAGTAATGTGATATATCAAGTCATTGAATGTGGAAAACAATCCTATGAAACTAGGAAGGTGCCAATCATTTCCATTTAGCTATTGAAGAAAAATCAAGTGTAGAGAAAAGACCTGTTCAAGGTTACAATGCTAGCAAGAGGCACATCTGGTACCATGCCTTCTGTCAACTTTTATTGGAATTATGTAGAATAGTACCAAAGATTTTTAGTGCCTTCCATTATGTTTTGTTTGTCTTTGAAGTGGGACAATTACCTACCTATGAACATGAGTAAAAGTCAATCTGGTAATGATTGTTAACTCTTTAATTACTTTGGAAAGAATTTCCATGTATTCAGTTATGTGTACCCAGCTACCTAATGTGATAGAAGGCTGGTGGCGCCAGCACACCGGGTTCTAGTCCCGGTTGGGGCGCCGGATTCTGTCCCAGTTGCTCCTCTTCCAGTCCAGCTCTGCTCTGGCTCAGGAGGGCAGTGGAGGATGGCCCAAGTGCTTGGGCCCTGCACCCACATGGGAGACCAGGAGAAGCACCTGGCTCCTGGCTTCGGATCAGCGCGGTGCACAGGCTGCAGCGCGCCGGCTGCAGCGGCCCTTGTAGGGGTGAACCAACGGAAAAAGGGAAGACCTTTCTGTCTCTTTCACTGTCCACTCTGTCAAAAAAAAAAAAAAAAAAAGTGATAGAAAACAGACTAGGGGGAGGAAAAGATAAAGCAAACTGGCAATCTAACTGTTGAACTACTTGAAAACTCATGTAGTAATCACTCAGGTTGTCACATACTTATTGTTTGATTTGTACTCTTTGGAGATGATTGCTGTAAATATACTAGGAAAGTCCATTCATCGATCTTCCTCTCGTGTTCATGGTGACGGATTTAATTTGTTATGTGTTCTAGCTCTTCGCGTTTCCTGTTTTTTAGAATCGAGTTGGAAGAAATAATTCATGCTGTTGTACTTTGCTGCACGGGATAACTTCAAAGAGTTCCTGGAAAATGGGACTAAAAGCTAGGCTTATTTTGGTGCAACAAAACTTGGGATCCATACATAGCATTTTTGCAATACACATTTTCCATGAACTTTCTGAAGGCCCATTGTATTGTGCTGTACATTTGTTTATGTGGGTTGAACAGCTCGTTCCAATCACTTTGATGCTTTTGGTTACTATAGCTGTGGTTCCTATTAGTCCTTTGTGTTCGTGCCTTTGCATGTCTTAGTATTCTTGGTAACCAGCAAGTTAATCATCAATGAGATGGGCTTTGGAAGTGGTGCTTTGTGGTTGAGTGAGTGTGAAGGCTTGATTCGTTCCTTTCTCTCTAAGAATCTCAGAGATTTGGGTGAAGTCATGCACTTAACTCTGCATTAGCCTGACGGCCCCTCTTGGCTTTTACAGAAGTGTGAGAATGCTATAGTGTTCTTACGTGTCTTAGGAAAGACAACTCTGAAAAGTGTTAAGATTGCCATGAGAAACTCCGTTTTCTTAAGTAACTAATGTTTTAGTAAATATTCAATATTGTCTATGCCTGTTGGTTCACTGTGCTCTCTCTCCCTTTAGCCCCCCAGGTTCGCCTAATAGTCTTGGCTACTTCCCTACAGCTGCTAATCTTAGCGGTGTCCCTCCACAGCCTGGCACGGTGGTCAGAATGCAGGGCCTGGCCTACAATACTGGAGTTAAGGAAATTCTTAACTTCTTCCAAGGTTACCAGGTCAGTAGCTTAAAAAAGAAGCATCCTTAGTGCCCTTATTACTTAAGTTGATTTTCATGAAGAATACAGCCAGGGAAGACAGATTCTCTAAAACTCATGAGTGTATATGTGCTAATGGATTTGCTTGTGGAAGCAGTTAGGTCCAGAGTCAGTGTAAGGGGAACTGACTTCAGACTCATCCCCTTGACAGCATTTGCTTTTCCATGCAATCTTTATGTATTTTAAAATACATATTTTAATAGGCAAAGTTACAGAGAGAGAAGGAGAGACAGACAGAGACAGACAGACCTTCCATCTGCTGGTTCACTCCCCAACTGGCTACAACAGCCATCGCTGGGCCAGATTAAAGCCAAAAGCCAAGAGTTCCGTCTGGATCTCCTGAATGAGTGGCAGGGGCCCAAGCACTTGGACCATCCTCTGCTACTTTTCCCATGCTGTTAGCAGAGAGCTGGGTCAGAAGTGAAACAGCCGGGACACAAACTGGCACCCATATTGGATGCCAACATCATAAACAGCAACTTTACCCACTACGCCACAGCACTGGCTCCCACTCTTTAGCCTTTCATTGTAATCTTTTGGTGCTTTTTGGAAACCTGCCCTACTTTTGAAGAGCTCCTTTGTGCATGTCATCCAGGCTGGAGTTGGCTGAGAAGGAGTTTTCCCCCAAGTCAGGTTCAAATCTGACTTAAAAATACTCAAACACTGAGTTTACATTTAAGTATTTAAAAAATGATCAGAGGCCTCTGACCGGTCTGGTGGGGGAGCACAGGCTTGGACTTCCAGCCTGCTGGCCACACAAGGTCCATGAAATCACGTGATATGGCCCTGTCAAGGCAACTGCAGGTGGGACTAGAAATTCAGTAAATCTATAGCAGGCTAATTTTTAAACTTGACAATTTTGTGTCCCACAAATGTTATAAATATCCAAATGGCCCTTGGCAGAAGAAAGGTTCCCCACCTCTAGAATGCAAGGAGACTTAGTTGTGAGAAGGTAACACCCTAAGATGAGCTCTAGGGTATTTGCTGAGCCTTTCATGAAATTATCTGTTGATTCTGATGATTCTCTTTGCTCCTGTCAGTTTTTTCAACAACTGCTTTTGTCTGTCAGCTGCTTTCTGGGTTAAGCTACAGGAAGCCTGTTTCGGTGTGAGCTCTTCTCCAATGGACAAAAATCTCTTCTTTTCCCTTTCATCTGAGTAGATGCCTTTCTTCCTGAAGTCACATAATTATCTAAAACCTGAATTCCCTCTTTTCTGCCATATTTTAAAACCAACTAACTTTTCTATTTATTGCACTAATAGTTAAAATTATTCTCCTTCCTCTTTAACCTAAACTTTGCTTGAGTTTTCAGAATGGAGAAGCTGTTCAAGGCATAATAGGCAGATCCTAAAATAGCCCTGGAGCATCAGCAGTACCATCTTATACGGGGCGTGTTGGCAGAGCCTATTTCACTACTTGCTTGTATTACTATCTTGATATCCATGACCCATGGAGGAGAGTGGTCCTAGCTAATATGACTTCATCATTGGTGCTGCCTGCCCCAAACCTGCGGAGTACCACAGTTGTCTTAAGGGCCTTTACCATGCAAAGGATATTTTATTATGCAAATGAAAATCTATGACTGGTAGTGAAAAGCCAAATGAGAATGGAAAAAGTTACCATTTATTACTGCCTGGTTTAGCACATTCTTACCAGAAGCAGCTGTGCTGCTTTTAGAAGACCTTAAAATGTGAATTTTTAAAATTGCTTTCTAAACATCATGTCTGATTTATTATGTTATAGAAGGAATAGAAAATTTTACTGAAAACTTAATGAAAAGGTTGCCTAATCTCATGGATAAAGCATTTTGACTTTTGCATTATGTTTTCCCTGTTTCTAACCGTAGAACATTGAAGGAAAGTTTTAAGCTTTAGCCATCAGCTGGATTTATTCCTTTTTGGCTTGTTTTCTCTAATTTACGTTCACACCTATAGAATTAAGAATCAACACTTAAATTAGTGTTGTTGTTGTTGTTTTTTTTTTTGTTTTTTTTTTTTTTGACAGGCAGAGTGGACAGTGAGAGAGAGAGACAGAGAGAGAAAGGTCTTCCTTTGCCGTTGGTTCACCCTCCAATGGCCGCCGCTGCAGCCGGCGCACCGCGCTGATCAGATGGCAGGAGCCAGGATCCAGGTGCTTTTCCTGGTCTCCCATGGGGTGCAGGGCCCAAGCACCTGGGCCATCCTCCACTGCACTCCCTGGCCATAGCAGAGAGCTGGCCTGGAAGAGGGGCAACCGGGACAGAATCCGGCGCCCTGACCGGGACTAGAACCCGGTGTGCCGGCGCCGCTAGGCGGAGGATTAGCCTAGTGAGCCACGGCGCCGGCCTAACACTTAAATTAGTAATCAGAGTAAACAAATTGCTCTTACTATTAAGACTCATGGCTGACCCTTGTGGGTATTTTACCACAAACTGTAAGAGGGATTATTTCCAGCCTCATGATTCAAAGATTGATGTACTTCTAAACAGAGATGAAATAACTTAGTAGCAGTTTTTCTTTTAGGCAGCTTCTAAAGTCATTCAATAGTGGAGTTAGAGCTAGCTGGTATAATCAGAAGCACAAAGATTGTGCTAAATTACTGTTTTGATGCGTTGGGCCTTAATTTCTAAAGTGTTTAAAACTAATTAGGATTCATAAAAACCTCAATTTTCCAGTTCCATTTATCAAATGATGCGCATATCTTCCTTTAACGTTTTGAGCTTTGAGGCAGTGACAGGGCTTATATTCTAAATCCTTATACCTGGGGCGGGGATTTAATGACACCTGCTTCCCATATCAGAGTGCCTGCATCTAAGTCCCAGTTCTGCTTCTGATTGCAGCTTCTTGCTGTTGCACCTCCTGGGAGGCAGTACAAATGGCTCTAGTGCTTGGGCCCCTGGGACCCATGTGGGAGATCCGGGTTGAGTTCCAGGCACCGACTTTGGCCCAGCTCAGCCCTGGCTGTTGCAGGCATTTTGGGAATGAACTAGCAGATAGGAGAGCTCTCTTTACTCTTCAAAATCTTTATAACTAATCCAAATTCATATTAATCTTACATAAAAACTTTTTAAAAATTACTGTCATTAGAATTCTGTGGGTGCTGTTTCAGATAACAGCCATTTATTAAGGGTTCCAGATTGTTAAGTTCAGCTTTGCCACAAGATAATAAAATCAATGGATGGCTTTAAACAAAATGAAACTGCACTTAAGTGTTTACCTGCAGTGTATTTATAAATGTTGATTTAGTGGAAAGTTTTATTTATGGCTAATTTTATGTAATTATATAATAATTGTTATATTTAATTAAGCAAATCCATGTTGAGTAAATGAAGCTATTGATGATCTCTTATCCGGGCATAATGATAGCATGTCTTTTTTCTCCCACAAAGTGTGATGTTGTTTAAACTAAGGTGAGGAACACACACACACATGCACAGTCATTGTTCAGGAATGCAGTGGACTGAGAAGGGAAAAGGATGGGGTAAGGAAGAGAGAGGGTGATTCAGTACCCTCACTCCTCTGAGTCTGCAGAAAGAGCTGGCATGTCATTTTTTATATACAGTTTTTAAATACAGGTTTTCCTCTACTTTCAGCAAAATTCCTTCCATAAAAATACTCCTTTGTATTTTCCATACTTCATTTGGGATGGCTTATAAATTCAGAAAGAACAAGGATTTACAAAAGGGAAGGAATTCTGATGGCTAAAGCAGAATGTAGGGCTTAGATTTTGCTGTCAAATCTATAGTCTTATAGGGTTAAGTTACTTGGGTTAGGTCTGTTTTGATAAATTAGATTAATGGAGTGGAAACTTAATTTATGAAAATATTTGGTAACAAAATGTCTATCTGGTTGATAAAATAGAAATGTGTATATTTTAGCTGATCGACCTCTTATTCTGAAATGGATTCCCAGGTACTCTCATACAATTCCTTCAACTTTATCCACTTTTTGTGTTACATTTTACTATCAGCGGCTTTGCATTTTTAGTAAATGGTGGTTTTGCTTCTCAAAGTACAGACTATAGTCATTGTCTCTTCAGACCTCTTACTCTAAGATTTTCACTTGCTTGTCCTACTGATTGAATTAGATTGATATGCCCAGCACAGCTAACGTTACTGAAAATTCACTGGGTGATTTGGAAATATTGGGCTGCTTGTATAATGCCTTACAAATTGGTGTTCATGTATAACTCACATGAGATCTAGTCGTAGCTATGGTGTTCTGGAAATTGTACTCTTAGCAAGATGTTAAGTGTTGGGTCTCCTGTGGTATGGTGGTCTTTTCTTTTAATCTGGTGTTCAATCTAACTTCTCTCCTAGAAGAGATTTTTCTGATATTTTATTAAGAAAGAAGAATTGGTGTTAGCAGTTACATATAAATATAAGGTTTGCACCAGTGTTGTTCCTTAGAGTTTAAGTGTCCTATTCTATTGTTGGTAGATCTGTTTAGTTAAGATATTAACCATCCATAGTGGCACTTTGTCCATCTTTTGATCCTGTTTGTTTGAACTTGCATTTTAGTATGCAACCGAGGATGGACTTGTACACACAAATGACCAGGCCAGAGCTCTGCCCAAAGAATGGGTTTGTATTTAAGGGTCCCAGCAGTTAGACCATCCTCAGAAAAGAAGGTAAGGCTCTATGATATGCAAGCTAAATTAGGGCCAAACAGAAGTGTCTTAAGTTATTTTAGGAGTCAGATGGAGAAGTTCCCTTTATTCTTTAGTGTGGTGCAAGAGTATTAGAAATCCTGGAAGGATGGGGGCGGGTAATATGGTTTAGCAAGTTAAGCCACTGCTTGGGATGTCCACATCCCATAAGGGAATGTTTAGGACTTCCTGCTAATGTGCTTGAGAAACACATGATGATGGCCCATCTTTCTGCTACCCTTGTGGAAGACCTGGATAGAATTCCAGGCTCCTGGCTTTGGTTTGTCCAATCCTGGTTTTTGCTGGCATTTGGGGAGTGAATCAGCAGATGGAGGATGTCTCTCTTCCTCTCTGTCCCCTCTTCTCTCTCTCTCACTTTACCTTTCAAATAAACAAAACAAAATCTTAGGGACTGGCATTGTAACATACCAGGTTAAGCCTCTGCCTGTAAAACTACCATCCCATATGTGGGCTGGTTTGAGTCCCAGCTGCTCCACTTCTGATCCAACTCCCAACTCTGGGAAAGTGGAAGAGGGTGGCCCAAATGCTTCAGCCCCTGCCAACCACATGGGCTACATTGAAGCAGCTGTGGGCTCCTGGCTTCAGCCTGGCCCAGCCATGGCCATTATGGCCATTTGGGGAGTGAACCAGCAGAAGGAAGATCTCTCTTTGTTCCTCTCCTAGTAACTCTGCCTTTCAAAAAAACAGTACACTGTAAAGAAAATTCTGGAAGGCATGGAAATTGGAGTCAACTTTGTCATCTACATAGATAGTATCTAAGCAGCTTTTGTGAATGAGAGTTGTATGTTGCTTTAGAATAAGGGAAAACTTTTCAGTTTGGAAATTCTTTATCATGAAATATAGGCTGTTTGCTTTTTAACAATTGATATAAAATTTCTGACATGAAATTAAAAATTTTAAACTATATGACTCTGTAATTTAGTATATTCACAACAGTGTACAACTACCACCTCTACCTAGTTCTGAAGCATTTGTTTGTTTGTTTGTTTTCCCCACAGCACCTGGAGACTAATATTTTTTCTGTCTCTATAGATTGGCCTATTCCAGATACTTGACACAGATGGAATTTTACCATATGTGACCTTTTTGTGTTTGACTTCTTTCTCCTTAAATGATCGGTTTATTTTTTGAGAGACAAAGAGAAAGAGGCTTGCCATTCACAGCTTCACTCCCCAAATGCCTCTGACTAGGCAGGCACCAGAGCCAGGAGCCAAGAACTTGGTCTCAGTCTCCCTCATGAGTACCAGGAACTCGGTTACTTGAACCTCCCTGGGTCCGTGTTAACAGGAAGCTAGAGTAAAGAGTCAGAGCTGAGTATCAAGCCCAGGTACTCCAATGTGGGATGTAGTGTCAGCCAGAGTTCAAACCAGTAGGCTAAATATCCATGCCCATGCATGTAGCAGCATGTATCAGTACTTCATCCATTTTTATGGCTGGATAATACTCAATTGTATGGATAGATCACACTTTTTTTACCCATCACTGGACACTTGGGGTTATTTCCAACTTCAGGCTATTGTGCATAGAGCTGATATGAATATTCAGTTATTTGAGTACCCCTCATTTTCAGTTCTCTTGGATATGTAGGAGTGGAGTCACTGGATCATACAGTAATTCTCTTGGGTTGGATATGCTTTTTCTGGTTTCCTTTTAAAAAATCTTGTGGTAAAGTGATACATAACATAATTGACAGTCTTAACAAATGTTAAGTGGCATTTGCCTTTGGCCTTTTTTTTTTGGGGGGGACAGGGCAGAGTGGACAGTGAGAGAGGCGCAGACAGAAAGGTCTTCCTTTGCCGTTGGTTCACCCTCCAATGGCTGCCGCAGCCGGCGCGGTGCTCCTGGTCTCCCATGGGGTGCAGGGCCCAAGCACTTGGGCCATCCTCCACTGCACTCCCTGGCCACAGCAGAGAGCTGGCCTGGAAGAGGGGCAACCGGGACAGAATCCGGCGCCCCGACCGGGACTAGAACCCGGTGTGCCGACGCCGCTAGGCAGAGGATTATCCTATTGAGCCACGGCGCCGGCTGCCTTTGGCCTCTTAAAAGCAGTATACAGCCAACTTCCTTAACCACCCCACCCCCAAAAAAGTGTACAGGTCACTTGGCATTAAGTGTACCTCCCTGTTTTTGTTCAACCATCACTACCATCCAATTCCAGCACGTTTTCAGGTTCTCAAACTAAAACTCCATGCACATCGAACACTAACTCTGTAGCCCCCCTCCCTCAGCCCCTGGCAACCATCATTCTACTCTCTCTATGAATTAGACCTTTCCAGATTGCACTGCAAAAGTGGAATGATTTATCTTTTTGTGACTGACTTATTTCTCTTAGTGTAATGTTTTTATTTTATTTTACTCTGGATCAGTAATTTACAGTTTTATATGTATGGGACTGAATATTCTTGTCATTGTGTTTTATTCCAAAATGATTGCATGGTTTCCATTGCATGTCTTTTTTTCTCTTCTAAGACTAAATCCAGAGGGAAAGAACCCTGAAAAGATTTTGCAAAAATCCTATTTTCGTAATATCCTTCGGCCCCCATTAATCCACAGCCTTTTTAAAAAGGATCCCGGCATTCAGTGTTAGGTTCCCCTAGAGATGGAGATGCCCCTGCATGTTCGGGAATTTTTGTGGCTTATTTTTTCTTTTTGATGGTTGGATCTCCTGAAATTGGTTTGCTGGTAGTGAGGCTTCAATATGTCTTGGTCCAGTGAGGGAATACCATGGACAGAGAGTAAGTGGTGGAAATGGAGATTGTCTAGGTTGAATCATAGAGGACGCAGTTGTGACTTGTTGATGCCCTCCTTTTTGATCCATATTTGTCTTTCAAAGTGTTCACTCTTCAACACCTTAATGCTTGATAAATAATTATCTGTATTTTTAAGTGAAAAAGAAATGGTTAGGAATAAGATGTTTTGACATGCTAGAATTGTTCTAAATTGACTATAAACCATTACTCAGAATCTCTGATTCTACCATATACTTAGATATTTTGGTTCATGATAGAATGATAAGGAGCTTTGTTCAAATACAGATGTCTAAATTTTCTTATTCTAATAAAGATATTCCTTTGTATTAAAAAGTTATAAAAATTTACACAGAGCATTGTGTATAACACTTGGCATAAGTTATCTCTCTCAAAGATTTATTTATTGGGGCTGGCGCTGTGGCATAGCATGTAAAGTGGCCGTCTTAAGTGCCAGCATCCCATATGGGTGCCAGTTTGAGTCCTAGCTGCTCCACTTCCCATCCAGCTCTCTGCTATGGCCTGGGAAAGCAGTGGAAGATGGCTCAAGTCCTTGGGCCCCTGTACCCATGTGGGAAGACCTGGAGGAAGCTCCTGGCTTCGGATCAGCGCAGCTCCAGCCAATATGGCCAACTGGGGAGTGAACCAGTGGATGGAAGAACTCTCTCTGCCTGTCCTTCTCTCTCTGTAATTTTGACTTTCAATCTTTTTATTTTTCTTAAAGATTTATTTATCTATTTGAAAAGCAGAGTGACAGAAATCTTCCATCCACAGATTCAAATACCCTCCATAGCTGGTGCTGAGCCAGGTCAAATCCATGAGCCAGGAAATCCATCCTGGACTCTCATGGGTAGTGGGGACCCAAGTACTTTAGCCACCACCTGCTACCTTCTTAGGGTGTGAATTAGCAAGAAAGTGGGTTGGAAGTGGAATTGGAGTTGGGACTCTAGCCAGCACTTTGATACAGGATGTGGGCATCCCGAACAGCAGCTTAACCTGGTGCACTCAACCGCCCACCCCATTTATATATTTGAATTGTTTCAGCAACACTGAGCAATAGGCTCATAAAAGAGTTCTGTGGTCTTTGTAAAGAACGTGGAACTTTCAGACAGGTACACACACCCTCCACCCAAAGTCAATTAATCTCACCTCCCAAAAATAACCACAATACATCGTTCCTCTCGGCTTCTTGTTTACCCCTGGGCAACTTTGAACCTTTTTTTCTTTCTTCTCAAGTTTATATTGTGATTATACCTATATTTTCTCCTCTTTACCATTGCTAAATTGATCATCACAAATCATCTTGGGTAGTGAGGGTGGCATAAGCACTTGGTCTCCCTCCGGCTCACTTAAGTCTCAGCACAGCCCTGTGAAGCTTCATGCTGTGTACCTGTGGTGCTGTGTGACAGATGAGCAGGTGAAGTCCAGAGAGGTCAGGGCACTTGCACAGAAGCATGCAGCTAATGACCAAGGTAGATCCCATATGTCTGGTTTTAGGGTGGGAATCTTTTCTGTTGACCATATGATCATGACAGAGTAAGTGTTTATAGTGGGCTGAATGGTAGCCCCAAAGATAGGAGGGTACTTCACATTTCATGAACAATGAAATTAAAAGACAAATTTATCCTGGTTCAAAAATTTAGAATTGATATGTAGCTTTTTGTTAGTACACATATTCTACATGCTTTTGAAGACCCCTTTTATATCCATACCCCATTCCTAGAACATTGACCTTGTATGGCAAAAGCTATAAGTTAAGGTTCTTGAGCAGAAGAGTATCATGAATTATCTGGTGGGCCTTAGACGCAATCAAAGGTATCTGTATTAGAGAAGGCAGAGGAGAATCATGCACTTGGAAGGGGAGCAGCCACGTGACCAGGGCAGCAGAGATGAGAGTGATGCAGACAGCCATGGAGTGGCAGCAGCCGCCCGGATGCACTGTCCACTGACGCTTTGATTTCTGACTTCTGGTCTCCAGGCTTTTGAGAGAATAAATTTCTTTCAAGCCATCAAATCTGGGTAACTTAATATAGCAGCCACAGGGAATGAACATAATTTCCTAAAAAATAAGTTGAAAGAATGAACTCCCTACTGGTTGTGGGGCCAGGTAGAGATAGGTATTTTATCTGCAAATTAACAGCTGCCTTTACTTTCCAAAAGATCTGGTGATTGTTGGCTTATGAGGCTGGCTACCAAAAGTGGTCACTGGCAATCTTTTCATTCTTTCTTCCCCATCACTTTCTGTATTTCAGTGGATTATTGTGGCCCAGAAGTGACATGTATTCTCTGTATTGCAAATAGAAGCAAAGGATTTTGTATATTCTCCAGTCACACTGTTCAATCTTCTTGTACCCTTGCCCCATCAACCCAGCCAACATTGTTATCTTTCACTCACTGTTGAGTTCCAAGTTTCATGTTCTTTAAGTCTCAAAGACGGTGTCAGGCCCTAAATTTGAATGTGCCAATGGTGCTTGGCTTTGACACACTATGACAATAGTCCTTGACTATTGCATATGTATAAAGATGACAGTCCTTGAGGTGACATTTCCCTAGTTGGTAAATGGGCATAAAATCACTTTTACATCTGCACCGTTTTTGCTATGAGTATCAGGTAGATGAATGAATATAAACAAGTTTTATATGAAGTTTTATGTGAAGTTCTATATTAATACAAATAAGTTTGTTCCTATGCTTACAACAGCCATGGGGCAAAAGCTTTTTCCCCCCTATTATCAAAATTGCAGATGATAATTAGATTTTGCCAGCTTTTCTATTAATACTTTTTTTCTGTCCCAGGACCCAACACAGGGTTCTCCCCTGCATTTAGTTCTGTCTTCTTAGTGTCCTTCAGTCGTGAGTTTCTGTCTTGTCATGAGCTCACCTTTTTTTTTTTTTTTTTTTTTTTTTTTGGACAGGTAGAGTTATAGACAGAGACAGGTCTTCCTTCCATTGGTTCATTCCCCAAATGGACGCTACGGCTGGGACTGCACCGATCCAAAGCCAGGAGCCAGGTGCTTCTTCCTGGTCTTGCATCCAGGTACAGGGACCCAAGCACTTGGGCCATCCTCCACTGCCCTCCCAGGCCACAGCAAAGAGCTGGACTGGAAGAGGAGCAACCGGGACTAGAACCGGCACCCATATGGGATGCCAGCAGCACCACAGGCAGAGTATTAACCAAGTGAGCCACGGCCCCATCCTAATAAGTAGGTTGTTAATGGTACTTAGTTCAGAGAGCTATTCTGAAAAATAAAATAATCTGCAGTGTGCCAGTATGGTACAATCATGTAATATCTACTTAGTAAGATAGTGTTTAAGGGGACAGCTTTGTGCAGTGGATAAAGCCATTGCCTCGATGCCGGCATACCATACGAGTGCCAGTTGATGCCCTGGCTGCTCCGTTTCCGATACAGCTCCCTGCTAATAGCCTGGGAGAATCAGCAGAAGGTGGCCCAAGTGTTTGGGCCCCTGCACCCATGTGGTTGACTTGGATGAAACTGCTGGCTTTGGCCTGGCCCAGCCCTAGACATTGTGGCCATCTGGGGAGTAAATCAACAGATGGCAGATCTCTGTCTCTCCCTCTCTCTGTTACTCTTTCAAACGAATCTTAAAAACAGATATTTTAAAATGTCTTTCTTAATTTGAGAGGCAGAGAGAGATTGAGCTAACAAGCTCCCATCTGCTGGTGCATTCCCCAAATGCTCTTGAAGACCAGGACTGGCCTGAGGCCTGAGCCAGGAACCTTCAACTCAATCCAGGTCTCCCTTGTGGATGGGAAGAACCCACCTACCCGAGCCATTGCTGCTGCTTCCTTGGGTCTGCATGGCACAAATCTAAGTCAGGAGCCAGAGACTGATATTGCATCTAGGCACTCCAGTCAAGGGCCCTGGCAGCTCGGTTGCTTGGCCGGATGCCTACTTTGAGAGTTTCTTATAGTAGGGGCAGGCCTTGTGGGGCAGTGGGTTGGGCTGCCACCTGGTGCATTTGCATCTCATCTCAGAGTCCTTGTGCTAGCCTTGGCTCCTCTGCTTCCAAACCAGCTTCCTGCTGGTGAATTTTGGGAGGCAGCAGATGATGGTTCAAGTGTTTGGATCCCTTCCACCCACATGGGAGCCCAGATGGAGTTCTTGGCACCTGGCTTCAGCCTGGCCCAGCAGCCCCAGCTATTGTAGGTATTTGGGGGAGTGAACCAGTTGTTGTATGATCTCTCTGCCTTTCAAATAAATAAAAGTAAACACTTAAATTTCTTATACTAGACACCAGAATCTACTTTTAAAATTTTCATCTTGCTGGTTTTACTTTGATAATGGTGTTGAACTGGCAGTATCAGAAGAGTGCTATGATAGATTGGGGTCCCAGGCTCAGGAATGAATGTAATAGCATCTGCACTAAAGAACTGAGTTGAGGGGCCACCCCTGTGGTGCAGTAGGTTAATCCTCCACCTGCGGCGCCGGCATACCGTGAGGGCGCTGGTTCTAGTTCCAGCTGCCCCTCTTCCAATCTAGCTCTCTTCTATGGCCTGGGAAAGCAATAGAAGATAGCCCAAGTCCTTGGGCCCCTGCACCTGCATGGGAGACCGGGAAGAAGCTCCTGGCTCCTGGCTTCAGATCGGCACAGCTCCAGCCATTGCAGCCATCTGGGGAGTGAACCAACAGAAGGGAGACCTTTCTGTCTGTCTCTCCCTCTCACTATAACTCTGCCTCTCAAATAAATAAAATAAAGAAAAGAAAAACTGAGTTAAATGAGGGTGTGAGGCCGGCGCCGCGGCTCACTAGGCTAATCCTCCGCCTAGCGGCGCCGGCACACCGGGTTCTAGTCCCGGTCGGGGCGCCGGATTCTGTCCCGGTTGCCCCTCTTCCAGGCCAGCCCTCTGCTGTGGCCAGGGAATGCAGTGGAGGATGGCCCAGGTGCTTGGGCCCTGCACCCCATGGGAGACCAGGAAAAGCACCTGGCTCCTGGCTCCTGCCATCGGATCAGCGCGGTGCGCTGGCCGCAGCGCGCTGGCCGCGGCGGCCATTGGAGGGTGAACCAACGGCAAAGGAAGACCTTTCTCTCTGTCTCTCTCTCTCACTGTCCACTCTGCCTGTCAAAAAAAAAAAAAAAAAAAAAAAAAAAAATGAGGGTGTGAAAACACACGTGTCAGGCACAAAGGGTATCAAGTATTGGGAAATGCCATAGATATCTATGTGTAATAAAAATATGGACTGTCTTACAGCTGTGTTAGTTCTTTTGGAACTTGAAATCTGTTTTGTGGCTGTTAAGAATTAAGTTTACAGACTACAGTGTTTTCTTTTTCTTTTCCCCCCAGTGTTTGAAAGATATATGGTGATCCTGAAGCCATCAGACACAAGAGAACTTCTGGCAACTTCAGGAGAAGTTTGTCTACCCTCAGGCTGCAGTATTTTCAGCAAACATGATTGGACAGCAGGCCTGTACCTTATCTTTTGGTGGAGTGAAAAATTTGAGCCAGTGAAGCCAAATCCATGTAGCAAGCGGCTTTCAGCCCATCTGGACCCTTGCTGATTGCAAACAGGCATTTAAAATGTGAATCTGAAATCAAACGTCTCCATTACTTCCAGCTAAAGTGGAACCATAGGTGTTTCCTAAGTTTTAATTCTTGGATACAAAAATACTCCACTAGTGTCTGCCACCTGCACCGTGAACTCTTGTTATAGAAGCTTCCTTTCTGTGCATTCCCGCTCTTTGCTCTCCATCTCCTTTTGTCTTGCACAGTGATGCTGTCTTGCTAAGTATTTCAGGCATATGGTCTTGGAATACTTAAATTGCCAACTTAAGAAAGGGAATAAAACTAATATTTGCCCAGTCTCTTGGCCATGATATCTTATAGTAAAAAGACAAAATGATTTTTTTAAACACCTGCGGACAAATTAGAATAGTGTACCCTTCACAAAACACACATAGTTAAGTTTGGGTCTTTTTCTCAGCAGGTACCAGTTGTAAATAAGAATGAAGTAGGGGCCAAAACAAAAACCAAAAATGAAGCAGCTACATGTCGTTAGTAATTTCTAGTTTGAACTGTAACTGAATATTGTGGCTTCGTATGTCTTATTTTATATTGTACTTTGTTCATTATTGATCGTTTGGACTTTAATAACAGAAATTCCATAGATTTTAATGTCACAAGAAATAAGACTATTTGAACAGTGTATTCTAGAAAGCAATATACTAACTGAAGTGAATGCTTGTATATATTAAGATAGCCTTAAACCTCTTTCTCTAATGCCTTAACTGTCAAACAATTACAACTTTTAAAAGCATAGAGCAATAGGTAGCCTGCTAGACTGAGAGGCAAACACTATGCCGTTAGCACAGCTGCTGATGTCAGTGTTTAGCACTGTGAGTTTAGCTGTGTTTATGCTACAAAAGTGCAATATTAGACTCTAGCTAGCTAGGACTGCTGCCTCATGTACTCCAAAGAGGAAGACAGGATTTGATTAAGTGCACATGTTTCTTTAAGTTACTCATATTGTCCTTTGGTTGGATGCAATGCCGTGCTATTTTTATTTGCTTAACATTAATTTGATGAACACCTTGGACAGCCAAACATTACCCCTCTACCTGGCCAGCAGTGGACCTTGCTTGCAGTGAGGGTTAAAGAAGATAACCATTTTTTGTATGTGTGAAAATTGGTGATAACTGGCACTTAAGATCAGAAATAAGGTTCTTTATACTTAATGCCTTAAGATGCTCTTTGCCCAAACTCTGACTTTAAGATAGGCAGTAAAACCACAATACTACTGAGGTTTTGTAGAATTGTTACATTTGATAATAAAACTCACCTGTTTAATCTCAGTGCTTGCGTTTTTTTTTGTTGTTGTTTTTTTAAGATGTATTGACAGACTTATTTGAAAGGTGGAACCACAGAGAGCTTTCATTCACAGGTGCACTCCCCAAATGGCCACCACACCAGGGCTGGGCCAGGCAGAAACCTGCAGCCTAGAGTTCCATCCAAGTCTCACACATGGGTGGCAGAAACTTAAGCACTCATCCATCATCTGCCTTCTCAGGTGCATTAGCAGAAAGCTAGATCAGAAGTGAAGCAGCCAGGACTCCAACCTGCACTCCAATGTGGGATGCAAGTGTCCCAAGGTGTGGCTTAATCACTGCCTCCGGCCCACCCCTGCATTCCTCTTTTGTTATTAGAAGATTTATGGTAATGGGTGAAAAGTTGTGGAGTAGCCATCTCTTCCTGGGGTGGTTGGGTTTTCCCTATGTTTACAATAAAAGTGATAAATTGTAATTTACAAAAGGTATCATTGATGTTTGAGCTCAAGTTCTAAAACAAGCATCCTTTGAGTGTAAATCATTGAAACTTTGAAATTCTTAGCAGTTATAATAGTCACAGATACTTGTTCTTGCATCTTGTTGCTGAATCTCCATTTACACAAGAATTTGAAAACTTTTCACATAAAACTAGTAAAATGTAGCACGTTCATGTTTCTAAGCCCCACAGGGTCCTTACGTGTTCAGTTACTCTGCTGATGAGAAGTTCTCTAACGGTATCTCCAATTGGATCCATATTTTAGGGCTGGGGTCAAGTCTCACCTAACTTCTAACATTTCATAGCAACATACATGAGTGTTGTTAGAATCACATACTGATATGCTCTTGTTAGCTCAAATGTATCAGTTGTGAAGTTACAGCCTCACTTTTACCTCAATGTCTAATTCATTTGTGTTCACTGTGTTCTTGTTAAGTATTCAAGGAAGTTTGGTTTCCCTGGAAGAGTTCTTCAGTCCTAGCCCTTGCCAACCTCATCAACAAAAATGGAGCATATAGTTGTGTTCCTCAGCTGTGGTCCTTGCTGTTACCACTGCAGGGAGGGGGCAGAGTTCTCAGCAAGATGAGATTCTCAACCGCCTGCCTCCTTGCTTTGGGACCTCCGGCAGATTTTACTGTTGCACCAGGCTCTTTCCTGCCTTCCGTCCAGTGAAAGTTGCCTGGGCTGAGATAATATGCCTGATACCTCCCTGGAATAGTACCTGGTACACCTGCTCTGTGGTTCACTCCCCAGTACATGTGCTAAGACGAGGAGACACGGGCCAGGCAAGAGCTGCTCAACTTTAAGGACCTGATGACCACAGGAAGAAACTCAAGAGTTAGAGATCATTGTGTGGGTCTCTTAGAAAACTTGTTTTTCTACAATTCTGCCTCTGTGTTAAGTGAGATCTTGGCAAGATCCCAGAGTGTAAACCTGGGAGGAATGGTTTTAGAAGCAAGCTACTTGCCTCTCCTAATGCCCTTCATCGTTCCATTTAATACCTTTATGTAGAAGGTGAAGGGATATTTGGGCCAAACCCCAAGCTGCTAATCATTTCCCTAAGAGTATAGTATAAGCTATAGTCAACCAACCACTGAGAACGTATGTGCCCAATAACAAGTATTCAATTGATTAAATGAATCTTCACAACAAGCCATTAGGTACATAGGTGGTGGTGGTGGGAGTGGGAGTAGGAGTAGATAGGAAACTAAAGCTTAAGTAAAACCTGCTCAAGGTTGTACAGAGTCTAAAAACTTGAGGACTGGTGGGTGTACTCAGTATTCTTGGTTACTACTTTGCTAATATTTTACAAGTATGACTCATGTCTGCTTTTTTATCACCTACGTGTCCTTAATTCAGCTGCCTTATATTGTTGCTGTTCTAAAAGTGAGTGTTGACAAATGGGTAACAAACTACTACTTTTACACCTGTGTTTTAGCTAGTTAAAAAAAAAAAAAAACACAACTTATTTTCATGTATTTGAGAGGCTCTGAGAGAGTTCTCAAGCAGTGGTTCACTCCCCAAATGTGTACAATGGCCAGGGCTGGGCCAAGCCAGAACCAGGACCCTGGAACTCAGGCTGGGTCTCCCATGAGAGTGGCAGAGACCTCAGTACCCCTCAGGCGTGCCTGACCAGCAAGCTGAAATCAAAAGTGGAGCCAGGGGTCACCGCTGTGGCATAGCAGATATAGCCTCCACCTGCAGTCCGGCATCCCATATGGGTGCAGGTTCATGTCCCGGCTGCTCCACTTCCGATCCAGCTCCCTGCTATGGCCTGGGAAAGCAGTGGAAAATGGCCCAAGTCCTTGAGCCCCTGCAACCGTGTGGGAGACCCAGAAGAAGCTCCTGGCTCCTGGCTTCAGATCAGCCCAGCTCCGGCCATTGCCACCATTTGGGGAGTGAACCAGCAATGCAAGACTCCTCTCTCTCTCTCTCTCTCTCTCTCTCTGCTCTCATAACTCTTTCAAGTAAATAAATAAATATTAAAAACAACAACAACAACAACAAAAGCAGAGCTAGGACTCAAACCCAGGCACTCTGATATAGGATGTGGGTGTCTTAAGTGCTGTGTCAAATGCTCACCTCTGAGCTGGTACTTTATAACTGAATCCCATTTGATAGTAGTAGGGTCAAGTGCTAAAAACATCTTTAAGGATTGATGTAAAATACTCAACCTTGTTCTAGGTCTCAGCCTTCCCTACCTGATTGTGCTCCTCATGGTTCTATCCTCAGCCATCTCTTTCTCGCTTTTATTTATTTATTTATTTATTTATTTATTTTTGACAGGCAGAGTGGACAGTGAGAGAGAGAGAGACAGAGAGAAAGGTCTTCCTTTGCCGTTGGTTCACCCTCCAATGGCTGCCATGGCCGCCGCACTGCGGCCAGCGTACCACGCTGATCCGATGGCAGGAGCCAGGTACTTATCCTGGTCTCCCATGGGGTGCAGGGCCCAAGTACTTGGGCCATCCTCCACTGCCCTCCCGGGCCACAGCAGAGAGCTGGCCTGGAAGAGGGGCAACCGGGACAGAATCCGGCGCCCCGACCGGGACTAGAACCTGGTGTGCCGGCGCCGCAAGGTGGAAGATTAGCCTATTGAGCCGCGGCGCCGGCCCCTCAGCCATCTCTTTCTTTCTCACGGAGTGAATAAATTCCTCTCTTTTCACACTCCTTTGTGGAGCTGTACACTCCTCACCCCAACATCCAGTGAACGTTTTCTCATGGATGTCTCCCAGGAATTTCAAACTCCACATGCTTAAGACAGAACCCTCCTGTGTCCAAAACCTGCTGCCCCTTGGGGACGTCATACTCCCGAAACTAGCACCATTCACAGCCAGGTGTTGAAGTTAAGGAGGACATTTTTAATTAGTTCACCATTCTAGTCACCATTGTGTCACCCATTTTTGTCTCGATATTGAGACTCTGCACCAAATTTTGTCACCCTCTATTTCCAGAATGAGTTTTAAAATTTTATTTTTTAAGAAAATTTATTGGGGCAGGCGCTGTGGCACAGCGGGTTAATGCCGTGGCCTAAAGCGCTGGCATCTCATATGGGCACCGGTTCGAGTCCTGGCTGCTCCACTTCCAATCCAGCTCTCTACTGTGGCCTGGGAAAGCAGTAAAAGATGACCCAAGTCCTTGGGCCCCAGCACCCACGTCGGAGAACTAGAGGAAGCTCCTGGCTTCTGGCTTCGGATCGGCACACAGCTCTGGCTGTTGCGGCCATCTGGGGAGTGAACCATCCGATGGAAGACCTCTCTCTCTCTCTCAGCCTCTCCTCTCTCTGTGTAACTCTGACTTTCAAATAAATAAATAAATTTTTAATAAAATAAATAAAATGAAATTTATTTATTTATAAATAATTTTTTTTTGACAAGCAGAGTGGACAGTGAGAGAGAGAGACAGAGAAAGGTCTTCCTTTTGCTGTTGGTTCACCCTCCAATGGCCGCCGCGGCCGGTGTGCTGTGGCCAGCGCAATGTGCTGATCCTAAGGCAGGAGCCAGGTGCTTCTCCTGGTCTCCCATGCGGGTGCAGGGCCCAAGCACTTGGGCCATCCTCCACTGCACTCCCAGGCTACAGCAGAGAGCTGGCCTGGAAGAGGGGCAACAGGGAAGGAATCCAGTGCCCCGACCGGGACTGGAAACCGGTGTGCTGGCGCCGCAGGCAGAGGATTAGCCTATTGAGCCACGGCGCCGGCCTAAGTGTTGTTTAAAAAGCAATGCTTATTTTTCTTTAACATCATTTTGTCAATTTTTTAATGTTACTATTATTTTTATTAATGATATGCTTTTCACATTGAAATACAAATCCAAAGGGTCACTTTTTATAATGTAGTACACAGCCAAAGAGAGTCAGATAACGCTATTTACCAAAACATGATGATTTGGACTGCTTCTGCCATCTACTGGATGTGTAGTGCTACTTGTTATTCTCCACCAGAGGGTTTACACCTAGGATTCCTTTTTTTTTTTTTTTTTAAAGATGTATTTATTTGGAAGGCAGAGTTACAGAAAGGCAGAGGCAAAGAAAGGGAGAGAGGTCTTGCATCCGCTGGTTCACTCTCCAACTGACCACAATGGCCAGAACTGTGATGATCCAAAGCCAAGAGCCAGGAGCTTCTTCTGGGTGTTCCGCACAGGTTCAGGGACCCGTGGTCTTGGACCACATTCCACTGTTTTCCCAGGCCATAGCTGAGGGCGGGATAGGAAGTGGAACAACCAGGACTTGAACTGGTGCCCATATGGGATACTGGCACTGCAGGCGGTAGCTTTACCCGCTACACCACAGTGCCAGCTCCTATACCTAGGATTCTTCTAGGATTTAAATTTTTTTCTATTCTTAAACCCTATCATAATTCCCGAAACTGATGAGTCACGGCAGTTTTCCTGTTGTACAACAGCTATAATAGTAATAAGTCATCATTGAGGTAGAAAACACTTTCTCCCCAAATCACTGCACTCTTTCAGATATCTGCACTTTGGAGTGAGAGCACTGTCCAATGTGGCAGGTGTGGACAGAGCCACTATGTGATCCT